GGGCATTTCTGTGATAGCAGATGGTGGTCCTGGGAAACATTAAGCGCTGGCTGTTTAGCTGTTTTCATATAAAAAAAGTGGAGCTGCAGAGCATGGCGCTCTGACAGGATGCCAATGTTGTGGCGTTCGGTTATAAAGACGGTGAACACACCACGGGAACCTGCTCAGAAGCTCGTGGACCTCTGTTATGATGCTCTGCACCCATTGATGAACAGAAAACACGTCTACTGTGTCCTGACAGAAGCTAAATGACTTTAAAATGCGGCCCTGGGCAGCTTTCGTGAGCCCTGGATGCCACGGGCGTGTGTGAATGGCCTCTTTCAGGGCAGGCAACACTCTGGGATAACAACGGTGAGAAACAGATATTTATTTCCCCCTGCACCATCTGTTTGCTGCCAAAAGACCAGAGCGCCATCAAGAAAAGGCCATGGAAAGGCTTTCTTGTCGTCATCTTGTGGAAATGCAACAAAAAACAGTGGACAGAGCCACCGCTGGCTGTTCTTCACTGTGCAGAGGGAGTAGCGATTTAAAACTCCATTTAGACTCCTGTTTACCTAAGAGATGAGCCCCCAAAACACAGTCATTCAACCGCTCACCCCTTTATCTGGTCATGAATATTCCCATAATCCTCTAGGCCTCAATCCCAGAGGCCCCTTCTTTAAGATGCTTGGTGCTGCGTGAGTTGCTGAGGGTGGAGGGACTCTGGCAGACTGAGAGAAAGAGAGGGAACCCCCCCGCCTCCAAATCCTCCCTTTCAAGCCCTTCTTTGGGCTGATCTCCACATGAAATGATATCTCATTCACTGGCACTCCGCAGAGTCCCCAAAGCCCGCTATGGCCAGAGCGTTGGCAGAGGGAGGCCTGAGCCACAGAGCTTTTAATTGATCTGTAATTAGACTCCGTGGCCCTGCTGGACAAGTAACCCACACAGCGAGAGGGAGAACAGAGATCAGAAAAAGATGGGAGGGAGAGGGCAAGGAGGCCCGCAAACTAATTTAGTTCTTACTTTAGAGATCGGCTCTCGTCCTTGGAGGATAGGGAAGGGAGGAACCAGAAAGAATGGGTGGCTGATGTGGAAGAATGGCAACAGAGAGCCCCTCAGTGTGTGAAGATGGGTGCCAGTGCTGAAGCCTTAGCATGCTGCTCCACAAGGCTGGAGTAACAAAACAGCAGCCGTTCCCAGCGGGGTCCTGAGTGTGTGGGGTGAGTGGTTTGCAGGCCCTGTCCAGAGCTGTCATCCTTCACACAGGCGCTCTTTATTTCTCATGGCTGCCAAGGGGTTCAGTGTAGGTGGGGACGGCGTATGTTGAAATCCTCCTCTCCTTCCGCCTTTGAAAGCCGATCGCTTAATGTAACAAACAGAGGAGCCTTTTTTCCTCAGCGAGCCATTTGATTTGTCACTAAATCGGGATCGGCGAGCTGTAAAAATCTCCGCCGGGGGAGACGTGGTCGCGGGGAGAGAGGGAGCATGTCGACGGCCCAAACGGCATGTCAGTGGCAGAATAATGAATCAGTGCGAGCAGTCGGGGTTTTATCTAGAAAACAGATGCCGGGGGAGAAAACAGCACAACCTGGAGAGAGGCGTACGTGGGCCTGGACGGGTCAAAACCTCAGGGTCAGCCAGGGGGCAGACTAAACAAAAAGATTTTAAAAAAGAAGAAAAGCACGACTCGGAGCTTAATAAAAGCTTTGAAAAGAGCCAGGTGAAGGCTGCTGTTGTGCCTTTGAAGGGACAGACATTCAAATTTTAGGGCAGGAGGTTGTAAAGATAAAGACAGTGTCGCTAACATTTAAAAAAGTGTCTGTTCAGGCCAGACTTCACAGATAGAATGTTTCGCTGATGCCCTGTATGAAGCTTGGTGGGATCATTACGTTTCTTTACTGCTTTGGCACTCAAAGAAAGCAGGCCAGCATACAGGTCCGATCCTTAAAAGAGACGATCCAGACGATAGCCACAGCCCGGCAAATGATGGATCAAATGAATTCAGACAGATCAAAATGTATTAATCAGACGGTCACAGTCACTCTCTTTATCTACTTTCCATTCAGAAAAAGATATAAAAAATTTCATCTGTCTATTGCTCACAGTTGGAATCAATTCAGGACAGTGAAGTTTGTAAGAGTGACGTTTTACACTCTGCTGTAGATTTGTACTGAGGCTAAATGGTTTCCACTAATTTGGTTGGAGCTATGTAATCAAGTCCTTTATTTCTTCGGCCTAATTCAATTTTCCCAAGTCCATTCTCAATGACCTTTCCCCACATTTTTCATCACTTATTTTAGATTTGTTCTCATATATCTTTTCAATCATCTGGCAAACACCAGTTCGGAAGTAAATAAAGAAACGGTTCTTGGCCCAAACGTGCGTCTCTCTCAGCCAATGTCTCTGCTTTAAAACAATTAAGGTTTGGATGTGCACAAACATTGCCTTTTTTCAAACATGAATCTCAGCTTAAGTACAAGCACATAGCTGCACGTTTAAAGTCAGATGGATCTCAGTATGTTTGAAAATGGCCAGAGAAAGACACGACAGGTCAGCTGCCCTCATCCTCCCTTTGCCCCCGGGTGTTCCCAGCTGCTGGGACTCCTAACACCTTCACAACCATAAATAGTAGATGACAAACACACCTGGAAAGCCTTTCAGCAACTAGAAGAGGCCTGTTCAGGCCCATAAGCTGTACTTTCAGGGCTGCAGGTGTTTCGGGGTAGCAGGAGAACATCCAAAAAGCAGCCATTTCTGATTCAAGGGTCTGCAGCAGTTCTATTGGCCTAATTCACAATGAACTGCTGAGTATTTCTCACAATAGAGACGCTGAGTATTTCAAGAAGACTTTAAGCACTTTAAAAAAAACATGGTCTATTTGTCATGGTGACTACCTGATGTCAAACATTTGCGTGCACGTGTGCATGGGTGACAGGATGATGGGTGGAAATGGGTCCCTGGTGCTCCGGCTGGGCTGGGAACATGTGAACAGAAGCCTTGCTGAGCTGTCCCTCAGATCATCGCGCATTTCTCTTCGTCCTGTTTTCCCACACTTGCGTCCTCTGTTTTTCCCTCAGCAGGATGAGAGAAGGCTTCACCTTCTCTGGTTTAGTTGTATTTATTTCTTTACCGCTTCCATCATCACCTTTTAATAGCTTAAACATTTGCTGCGTGCATCCACTGGACGTGTTTTTCAGATTTCATGTTTTAACTGAATAATGGCCACTTTCAGAACATGGTAAACCTACAGTTGAACTATTTTACTTCCCCTCCCCTGCCGACAATGAAGCGTTGAAAATGTTTCACCATGGCCAGAGCTTGCCAATCAGGTGCTGGACAGCTGACTTTGTGTGTTTGTGTGTGTATGGACTACACATCTGTACAAAAGAAAGATGTTCCTAGTTCTTGACAAAAAGAGATGGATGGATGGAGTGGATTCCAGGGAGGAAGTGAGAAGCCGTGCGGGAATAAAGGGAGAAAGACAGATGATGGGAAAGTGGAGAGAGGAGCAGGTCATGACTTTGGTAAATGCTGGCAGCTGGCTGGTTGGAGCTTTGATGACGAGACGGAGAGTGAGAGACACATAAGGAGAAAAAGGTCGAAGAGTGGCTCCATCACTGAAGAGTTGTTCAAGATATGCATGTTAAAAAAGACTTTGGAGATATATGCTTGGAGTCCACAGCGTGAACGAAATAAAAGTAAGCTTAACCTTCCTGAAATTATGAAGGAAAAATAGAAAATGCTAAAAGAAAAACAAATAAGGGAGATGAATCTACCATAGCAAAATATATGATTAAAAATGTGTGAACACAGCAAAATGTGCAGTGTTGTTATAAGAAGGCATTTGGTGATATGCATGGGTATAATAGAAAAGCATCAGTCTCTTTCTGGTGGAAAAAAAAGCGGCATGCAGATGGTCTGCCAAATCTATGCCAGTGTTATGACAACCCAGGATCTACCGTTTGCGTATTTGATGCGCCCTAGGAGAAAATGGATCATTTGGCAGTAGCCCGAGGTTTACTCCTCTGTGGGAAACACTTTTATTTTATTAGAACTAAGCCTCTTAGTTTACGGAACTACACTGCTAGTTGTGCAGTTTTAATTCAGAGAATGATTTACATTGAGTAAATGAAAAAAAAGCCAGTGGGAGAAGCAGTGAGATTGTTAATGAGTGAGAATGAGAGTGAGTTAATGAGATGAAAGGAAACAAAGTGAGCGTGAGGCTGAGAGGGCATTCCCGTGAGCAAGCCTGGACAACCTGAGCTTCATTGTACTCTGCTTCCACAAGAAAAAGGAGAAAGTGACTGCGAGTCCAGACACGCAAACAATTAACACGTTCTCACAGTTTTCTGAGCACCTTCTGTTGACACCTCTTATTCCTCAGCCCTCAGGTAACCTCACAACACAAAGGCTGAAATCTAGAAATTTTCCACACATTGCCGCATTCATCAGCAGGAAACCTCCCATGAAGATTATGGAGTTATTTTAAGAGTTTGCGAAGCAGCCAGGTGTTCCTGCGAATCAATTCACTGTGGCAACAAAATAAAAAATTGATTATTCCAAGCAAAGTGTAACTCTCATTCTACTATATATCAACAGAGTTATGAATAATTCTTAATATCAGAGAGCCAGCAGAATTTTTGCTGAATATGATGTTCAAATAAACCGAAATGTTAAAGAACCACATATTTTGTCCTATTTAATATGTAAAAGAATCACTAAAATAATTTAATAATTTTTTAAAATTGATTTCACAACAATTAAAACCTGTACGCAAAGTCTAAGGCAGGTCAGACCTGAGTCAAAAGTAAAACCAGATGCCCAGAAAGCCAACAACTTGATGTAAAAATAACCATTAAATAATTAAATTACAAGGGTAGCTCCATTTTGATTTCTAAAACTTCTGTTATGTATGAAATTATTTATTGACACACTGTTGGAGTGTTTAGGAGCTCATAATGTTACATACAACCCTTAACTGCCATGATTGTGGAAACAGTGCAGCGTTCTGCACTTTCTCAAATGAGAGGCCACACTACTTTTTCCAGTGTCACACATTGTGGTTCTCTGAGGGCCACCGAGGCAGAGACGGCCCAGTGGTCTCGGCTCAGCTCGCGCATTAGACCCAGACTTTGCTCCAGAGATGGCGCTGTGCCATCCAGCTGCTCTGGCACACGCTGACACACAAACACACGCACGGACACACACATTTTTGCCGCGAACACTGTACCATTAAAGGTGCTTTCACACTCTCGCTAGCCGACACACGCACCTGACCTCTATTTGTAACCTGAGCAATGTTGAGCCTGTCTGCAAGTAGGGGCAAATGGAGCTTAACAGCAGACTGCCCCTGGGAGCACATTTCTGCCTTTGTTAAGTGTGTTTATCCTTTCCCTGTCTCTTATCTCTCCCTTTTTTCCCCTCATCTCCTCCTTCCTTTTCTAATGGGAGGGTATGTCAGGTAAAGGTCCGCTCACTGTCATCCTATTTTCACTCTTTTCCTCTGTCGAGGAAACGCGGACAGGGATTGCTGGACAGAATTTGATGTAGGCAGTGAAACAAAGTAAGGAAAATTCAGGGAGACTGTGAGCCTAAACAAAACAAGTAAAAAAAGAGAAATTTAAAGTAGTGTGTGGCTGACCCGTGGGGTTAGGTTAAAGTTAGTGCCTGAGGCAATGTGACCACCTGCCAACGAAGAGGGATTAACATCTCTGAGGAGAGAAATGATTTCATAATAACAGGAATAAGGTTGCTTCACAGACAGATTGACAAAATCCCTATTCCTGTAGAGCACAGATCCACAAGAAAGAGGTGTGTTTAACTCCTGTCAAGTGTTCTTAACCCCAGATTAGAATAACCACACTGAAAACAACTGTGTAGAGTAAACAGATGCCTCTGATGGCGGGTTTAGCATCTGCCAACAGCTGCATTGTCTTTCCAAACACTGCAAAAAGCTCCCCATCTAACCCCATAAAGACCTCACAGAAGAGAACATGCACTTTTAGATGCGTATTTCAAGGCAAAAGGGGTTGTGACAAGATCAGACAGAATACTTGACAAGTACCAGAAGTTGGTATCTAACCTACTCCACTTTATGACTTTAGGATTGACATCAGCCATACAGGTCAGTCTAGACTGATGAACCCACATGCCCACGCCCACACAACGGGGTCCTGGCTGCACTACACAGAGCACTCAGACAGCTAATGACCCAGGCCCCGCACTCACCCACAAGCTCAACATGACTGACCAGCAAAGCCAAAAGTCTGGAAAATCCATTTGTCTCAGTAGGCAGAAAAGAAGTTTCTGACACGACCAGAAAATCAGGGCAAAGTAACGAATGACTGCGGACGGGTGTTATTTCAAGAGTATTGCTATTTTGTAACAACGAGTTCAAACAAAATCAATGAGGTTATGATTGCACTAGGGCCAATTTTATTGACCGGCTGGTAATTGAACACATCACCTTTTCTGTGACACAAATAGAGGAACTGATGAGAACAAAAACAGTCGGGGAAAAAAAAAAAGAACTGACTTTATCACCTCTTTAGAAAACTACTTTGTGGGTTCGATTGACGAGATTTACCAGCCACAGAAATTCCCATGATGCTCATAAGCCTGCAAGAGGTTACAGTGTGTGTGCACAGGTGTGGTTCCGCCCTATAAGATCCCGTGACGGATTCAAACCACATCCACGAGTGAAGGGAGGCTTTGGTGTCGGGAAGTGGGAATGTCACGCTTGTTTGGAAAACTTTGGGAATGACTTGCCTCATAGAATTTGCAAAGCTAGGCAGGTTTAGAGATTTTCAGACAGTGTGTGTAACGGAGACAGACGGTGTGTGTCTGCTTTGTGTGTGTGCGTGTGTGTGTGCGTGTGTGTATGTGCATTTGAACTAATCTGCCCTGAGCCGGTGTTACAGAAACATTGAGTTCACCATAACAAATGAAGAAGTACTGCTGAACACAACAAAAGCAACACTTTACTGTAGCAACTATGACTTAGGCTCAACTAAGTGAGCAGAGATGTGAAAACTGGAAAATACATTTCACAAACTTCCATCAAATGTTGGTTTAAAACTGGAGAAAAGCAGCCAATAGCTCCATGTTCGTTTGTTTATGTCTAAAGTAAATAATAAAAAAAAACTGTGCTGATTCGAATGTTTTTATGCAAGTAGCACACATTTTGCTCCAAGCGTAAAGAAATTAAAAGTAGATATGTCATCTGCATCGGTGACCTCACTAAAGAGAGTTTAGAATTCAGGCATTCTGGTGAACACCCCTAACACCTGCTGCCTGGAGTTTTTAAGCAGCAGTATGGTGTGATTTAGATACCCATGGAAACACAAGATGATATCCACATGGCCCAGCACCGTCCACAAATAAAGCTCTAAAACTGGAGGAATGGATAGTTGTGTGTGAGTTTGTCTGCATGAAGAATGATGAGAAGCTTGGAAATCCTCAACAACCATCTCTGGTAACCATTAACACTGGGCTCAAACTGAGACCAGAGCATGACTGATGCTCTGACTCACACAAGCCACATCCTAACCACACGACAAATGCAGCATTTATATGAAATATATGTTTGGGTCTGCTGTGTGACCTTTGCAAACAGAGAGATTCATTAAAGCCATGATTAACTTATACGACTGCTTGAAAAGGAAGACTGCACTTTTTATTTTTAACCTTTTAGTGCTAAAGTAACATAGCTTATTTCCTATCTTACACCAATGGTTAGCAATCCTGTTTCAAAAGTGTGTGCAAACTAAACCAGAGGTTCTTTTAAATAGTGTTTTCAAAGTGAAGATAATTAAGAAATGCCCTATGGTTGAATGAGTGTGACGTCATTACAAAACAAGCACCGTCACATAATCAAATGGAGTCCCTGCTTTCTCATATTAGTATGTGAGTCACACGAGGTTCAAAGAAACAGACAGTCTAGTTAAGTTTTCGTCAACAGGGGAATCCTGTGGATATTGTGTTTTTTTTCTTTTTTTGTTAAATGATGGCGGGACCTAATGCTGAAAAGACACACATGCTCGACTGCCTGTTATTGCATGTGCCATTTAAAGTCTACAAGTATAAAGTTTTGAGTTTAAAACAGTAGAGTTTTAAATCCATAAAAATCACCTGGGCTCAAAAACAATTGAGCCCATCAAAAGTGCTACTCGTTTACCCTTTTAACAACATTTCCTTGGACTTATTAGAAAAAATTGCCAAGAGTTTAAACAGAACTGCAAAGTGAACTCCTCTTTTTACTCAGAAAATACTGATGGCTGGTCATCATAGCTTCTTACTGCCTGTCCATCCTATCAGCTTGATGATTCCTGAAGCACTGCTGCCACCTATTGAGAGTTTTCCAGACTATGAGAAGCATTTCATAATGAATATAGAGCTGAGGGGGCATATTAGAAAGAATACCTTTTTTAATAATTTTGGATTAATGCCAGGAAGTAAAAATGTTTAAATAAGATTTATCTGCTTCCTTAACAGATTTACTCTAAAATCCCTAGTGTAAATGTTGCTGTGCAGTAAAAAACAAAAATAAAACAGTAAAATGAGCGAATGTGTCTTACTGAGATCCTCAGCTAGCTGGACTCTGCGGCCGGTGATCAGCTGTGTCTTTTTCTCCATGTCTTCCCCAAAGTCGTCCAAGACCTCTTTCACGTTTTTCTCCAACCGGCGTACTAACAGGAATGAACAAACCACATATAAAAAGATGAAAAATCAGCTATTTCAGTTTTTATTTCTTGGATACTTTCTGCAATCGTTAAAATAGTCTTTTGTAACAATGGGCATCTTTGTGCACATGAGCTTTACGGTCAATTTTTCCAGTAAATGCATATTAATGATCTGGCCAACTTGTTACGGATCCTGAGTCAGTTTTATCACAAACATAATTTTTATGATAACTGGATATGTTACCAAGCAATGAAAACTTCCAGAAGTAAAATAAAGTGGCCCTATTGGAACTATATCCTCCACCAGAGAAAGACTTAGAGGTCTGAAACCCAACAACAAGCAAATCTCCATTCTCACCCTCAGTGTTGGTTAGCTGCTGGCGGAGAGTGTTAGCTGTGATGACCAGCATCCTCTGGATCCTCCAAAACAGAACCACGTCGTTGCATTCCAGCTGCAACAAACAAAGATTAACTGAATGCCGGTCGAAAACAGTGGAAAAAGAAGGAAGGTTTTCAACTATTAATACTATCGACATACCTCAGAATCAACAAAGTGCCTCTGGTAGTAATAGAAACCCCTCTTGCAGAGGTTGCAGTGGGATAGTGCTTTCTGTAGGAAGTGCCGGCGATACAGCTGATGCCATGTGTCCTTAATCTGTGCAGGGATGAAGCAATTCAGCAGTTATTCGATGCAGAGACTGAAAATAATTTGCTGTTATGGTTGCTGTTAGGGCTCAGAGTGAATTTAACAGCACATTAATTAAATGGGAAATAAATATTCCGTCATTTGAACGAAGTTGAAAAATTGGACCAAAAGCTTGTTAAAGGTTATCTCACCAGTACTGGATCAACTTCTACCGATCGTCCCTCCAGGTTCTTCCTGACTGTGGTGACCTCATCGTTGGCCAAGTAAGCAGTGTGGTCTTCGTGCAGCTTCAGCAAGCGCTCCAGCTCATTTTTTGTTTCATTCCGAATGTGCTGCAGGGTCAGAGAGGATCAACAGTTGACCGTCTTTATGACAGTAATAGCATATTTAGATATGTTGGATTATTCAGTGTGTTGTGTGCATTTGAGAGCATCTACAGCAACTGGTATTACACCATTTAAAATGACCTTTAACCTTTACAGTTTGCTCGTGGAACCACATCACCACCATCATGGTAATGACCTCAGAGGAAACACTGTGACTCTGACCTGTTCAGGCGTACGGTTCTTCCAGTTCAGCCACCTCTGCTTCCAGTCCGGGCCAACCATGTCTCTGATTACTGATTCAGCTTAAGGAGAGGCAGCGCCCGGAAGAAGGAGAATAAAAAAAAGGACAGCACGTTTCTTATTCGCTCACCCTAAAATCTCCCACTTCACACAATATAACCTCTTGATATGCAGCCTTTTAGTGAATACATTTGTCAATCAACTTTCATTAGCATTTATCAAGTGGAAAGTGTTTAGTTGTATGATCTTAAAGTCTACAGAAATCATTGTGTCTGGACCATGCAATGTTTGTTTCCATCGACAGAAAAATGCTACATGTTGTAGGACCCAAAAAATACTGACTGATTTGTACATTTGTGAAGCGGGAGGGATCGTAAAGAAACATCTAAATGAAATCACAGATAAGAAACACTCAGAGGTAACGTACTGTCTTTCAGGCGTGACTGCAAGGTTTCCTCCATGAACTGGATTGCTGCATCCCACTGAGGTTTGTCTGTGATGGAACGGTCTTCTAGGGCATTGTGCTGGATCACCCTCTAAAAATGGCATCAACAGTTAAGCTGCGTTGCAAATGCAGGTCAATGAAAATGTTCTCTGGGTACCACTGGGTTTGAATCGAATAGTTTTGTATCAAGGTTGCAAGACTACTTTCTTTACATGTGGAGCACAAAATTGTGTTTGCTTGAGGAAATTATATAAAATAGTATGAATTGTCTGTATCTTTGCCCCAGCATGAATGAGTTTTCTGTGTTTACCAGGCTGTCCATGGCTCTCTCGTTCCACTTGTGCCTCTTGATGCTCTCGTCCTTCACGGCCTCCTTCAGCTTGTCAAAAATGTCATCTTGGTCTTTGCCTTTGTACTCAGCCATGAAGCGTGCAAACTCCTCCTGCAGCGTCTCCCAGGCAACCTGAATGGGGCAAATTATTACCAAGAAACCAGAATGGAGGGGAAGGCTGAATCTAATTACTGACAATAATTATCACTGATGTCTTCTTTGAAGGAGCTGGTCAATTCATAAATTGCTGCAGTAATTCGTAATTAGCTCAAGTTAAAAAAAGAAACACCTACATAAAATAAAAACTAAATTAAAAGCTTCTTATCTAATAAATCGAATAAGAATATGACTAGTTGAACAAACGGTTCTCTCTTTTTCACCTCGAGTGCCTTGTGTGGAAGCTGCTTGTCTGTCCACTGCTTGAGCTTGATGTCTACTGTGGTGTTAAAGGTACCAGAGTCCATTGTTTGGGCGGCGGGGAGGTAGATGTTTTCAATTACATGGGTGGAAACACGCTCCCACAGCTTCCTCTGGAGAATAGACTCCCTATGAGGAGGGGAAAAAAAAAAGAGTTCAAAATTCCCAACTACAAGCTGCATGTTGACTTGTGCTACAATATAATCAGCCACTCAAAATCTCAGCTTTCAACAAGCTAACTGTAATAAGGCAACACCTTAGAAAGATCTCCAAGATATGTCATTCCGTTTGCCAGATGGATCCAGCACAACAAACGGGACCGTCTTTAAAAAAAGGTGTCCAGCTGAGCTCTGTAAGATTTTTTGCTGGGACAGAAAAATAATACCTGTGGAAGGGATTGCTACTGGCTGACATGCTTTTGCCATCAGGAGTACTGCTACTGAACCTGGTAGTAAATAGCAAAATGGCGCCTCTATAATCATGTTAGCAGGTAACAGAGTCACTGCTCGCAATGGGACTTCAGAACAAAACCCAGAGTCCCCACGAGCCTCAAGTCCGTCTCATACCACAGCCATGCTGCACCTCTCTCATTTATCATGAACACACGCTCATATTTCATTAGGCCCCCTTTTGTTCTCACTAGCTCTTCTCACTGTCAATAAACACTTTCTCCAATAGTGTCGGCTGGCTGGCTGGCTAAAAGGGCCACCCCTGCTCCTGTCTATGGGTCATTCATCAGACTATTGATCTGGGGAAGTTGAAAGAAAGCACACAGGGGAAGGCCACAAAACCATGCATGCGTCTCATTTAACTATTTTTTTTCTCAATGTTGGTAAAGGAATAACTATACATTCTCATCCATATTAATGCACAATAAGAGAGATGAGTAGTATGTCTAACATGCAGCTTTATTTTCATGCATGGTGGACCGTTGTCACTGCTAGCAGGTAAAGCCCAAACACACATATAACTTTGTGCAGTCCCCTTAAGGAGGTACCTCATTAAGAAGAACGATCAATAATGGAAACACCAACAACCTTAAAACTGCTGTGACGGTAAACAAAAGCAGCAAAGCTTTCATACTCTTTTCTCATAGACTTACCAGTGTTGCGGGGTAACTTGACTCAAACTAATGACTTCATCCAAAATTTCATTTTTGGCCTTTTCAAAAAGTTCATTCTGTGAACAGACAACATGCAACAGCTCAGGTCTTTCATAAATGATATTTTAATAATATACTTTTTTTCCCCATCTCTACTCTCAGGTCTTGAGAATCTTTATGTCTTGGCTGTGTGTTCTTACCCTGTCCAGCTCTCTCAAACGCGGGTAGTTGTTCTTCCACTCTGTCTCCAGATTGAACCGTGAAGCTGTGGAGAAAGGAGTCAAGAAGTGTATTTGATTTAAATGAACGGCTTCTAACCCATTGTGAGCATTCTTCAATTTGAAATCAGTGCGTAAAATTAATGTAAGAAAAACTGCAGCTACTTTAAAGTGTCATTACTGGATGAGACTGATCTCAAATGTAAATCAATGCTTTTACATCATTTATGTTATGGTCCATGAAAAAGTATTTTCCATTAACAGGCAACGACCATATGCAGACAGGACCGCCTTTCTTTTCAGCTGGTGATAGAAAGGCTGCTCTCAGATAAGCTAATGGTATCCATCATTTAATAACAGAGGCTGTAGACACTCAGCACACTTACTCTTTTAACTGGTCCCTTGTGAGTGGAGCAGTGGGTCCAATAACACATTTTTTATCAAAAGTCAAGAGTTTTATCTCTCACATATGCACACAGAGACAGATATAATGCCCAGAAGCACACCGAGGTTGCAGCCTCTTTGCTAAACTCCCTATCCACAGTGGAGATTAGTCTAATTGCTGGTTTGTGGAGCTTGAGTTGGCGCCAAGAACAGAGGATAGAAGCCGGCTGTGTGTGATTTGATGGGATATGGATCAATACTCAACACAATGGACCTATGGGAACTGCAGTCTCATAGCCATAAATCTCCTCTGCTGTTGGCAATGGCTTGTGATTGTCTAGACTAATTGTAGTTGGAAAAGCAGGATGGAGGGGGTGGAAGTGTGGCAGGGTGGTCTGAGGAAGACTGAAAAGTCACTAGAAGGGACTCAGTGCCAGCTTAATTTACTTAAAAAAATAAATAAAATTGCAGACAGACATCAATAAGACACATAGCGGTGTATGTAGGTCAGAACATGGGCATCTACAAAACAGTTATAAATAGTAAAACACACAAATATATCAGCCTTCTGTAGGATAAATGTTTTCCTGAGGGTGAGGTCATACCTTTAAAGACGTCGGCTTGCTGCTCCACAGACTCTCTGACCATCTTCCAGAAACAGTCGGAGACTGCCAGACTTAAGTTCTTTGTGGTCACCTGATGAGCTTTCAGCATGCCATCCCTAGTGACACATTATTCTTATCTATGACCATATCTAGATATGGCTGAAAACATCACAGGCTGTGTCACAGATGCTATAACTTACCTTAGTAATCTGGAGTTCTGGAAAAAGTCCTCTTCATAATCTTTGATGGAGTCAATGCTTTCACCGGTGCTGCCTTTACATTTCAAATTCAAAAGTCAATGTCAAACGGTATGAAAGTAAATATTGCATGCTGTGTAACTAAGGAATAGGTGTTACCTTTTCCAGTAACTACAGCAAAGTAGCCCAGAGCTTTCATGGGAAACAGCTTTCCTTCCACTATTTGCTGGATCTGAAAAAGAAAATATTAATGAAAGGACTCAAACTCTCTTTAAGGAGTGAAAGTCTTAGAAAAACACTGAAGCCATTACAGAAGAAACGAAAGGTTTCTGAGAGGGACTGAGCTCCCTCATGTGGTGCAGCTGAAAAAAGCTTTAGTAGCCTAAACACGTTCAGACTAAAGGGTCAACTTCACAAATATTTCTATCACAGCATTTTTAAATCAATAAGAAATTCCAAAGATCATGAGTGATTTAAAAGTGACACTTCTGAGGTGTTCATTTACCACTGGAGAAGAAAATATATAGACAAATCTGAGTTTTTGTCCCAGTTTAAAGCAAAATGACACACACCAACAGATGCCTTGTTTATCTAAGTCAGTGTGTTTTTTTTTTTGTAGAGCAACACCACTGGATGATTTGCTGGGACGGCCCAGCTCCACTTACTCTGCTCGGGCTGGCCAGATTCTTCTCAGCCAAGTCCACTTTGGTCAGAACAAAGATGGTTCTTTTCCCCTGGGGGTCCATCTGGCTAACCAAGTCTGTTACGATGCTCCTCTCTGCGTCGACGCTACCGTCTACATGAATAAAAACACGGTTTAGGGTGAAAGTAAAAACAATGACATATTCTTACAGATCATCTCCCATCTTGTCACCTTTCCTGCTGTCGGCTCTAACAAAAGTAGTCGGATAGTTTTGTGTGGTGAAGACTCACCCTGAATGCAGAGAATGATGGCATTGGGGTTTTGCATGTAGGCCTTGCTGATGCTGAAGATAGTTTCCTTCGTATCTGAGGCCATGCCTGCCGTTACCGTCTGCAAAGGATATACATTAAGTCTTCACCATATACAAACAACACATAGTTAGAACTGAAACATTGCAGTGAAATGAGTCAAATAAAAAATGACATTGTTGAATATTTTGAGAAATATTTCAATCTTTATGATTCAACAATATTTACTCACACTGATGACACCTGGTAAGTCAACCAGCACCATCCTCTGGATACCTGGGCCTTTAACACTCAAAGATATGGTCTAACAAGCAAAACAGAAACAAATATTCATAAAAAATATCCAAGGAGTAAATCAGGAAGTAAAGGTTGATTAGATGACTAAAATTGCGACTAACCTCAGAGCTGACTGTTTGACCTTCCTTCACACTCTTCCTCATCCTCAGCTCTATCTCGTGCCTCAGGGCAGCCAGCTGTGGGAAACATGGGAGGAAAGATCACAAAACCCATGTAGAGAGGCAAAATGCATAATGGTGTTGGTGTAGTTAAAATCCGGTGGATGTGTCAGTAGAATGGCTTACGTCTTCTTCTTTACTGAGGTCAAACTCTCGGCCACTGTCTTTGAACATGGCCACGTGGTGGGGGCCTTCGCTTAGTGTCACCTGTGAGAGGATTCAAGACCAATATGTTTAAGCATAATAACTGAAGAAAAGTCCTGCAATACTAGGTTAGCCTAGAACCGTTAGCAGCAGATGATAGAAACATTGATTGAGGTAAATATTTTTTCAGGTCTTTTATGACCACATCTAAACCTGAAAATACCTGTTGGGTAAATCTATTTAAGAGAATTCTTTTGTCCATGCTTTCAAACATAACATTTCTGAAACTCTCAGCCAGCACTCACCTTAACAGGAGAGCGTGTCATCATTTCTCCGGAGCCCCTGGGGAAGATCCTGGCCTGGGCAATCATCTCGAGCACGCTGGTCTTTCCGGCGCTCTGATCGCCCACCACAACCACCTAAAAGCCAAAAGGCACAAAGGGGTGAGCCAGGGGGAAGCTGAATGCAAACAGATTGATCAAAAGATGAGGACAGAAGAAGGACAGCAGAGTGATGAGGACACTGCAGCAATCCAAGACAAAAGGTCCGAGTAGAACGGAGCGAGAGGCAGCGTGTTATCACAGTTACATTGTTATCACATCAGTCGCTTCTATGTGTTGTTTGATGGCTCCTCTCTCTGTGAAAGTCAGAGAAAGACTTGGCATGCATGCAAGAGAGCTGTGATTAGTGAGTAAAGGAACAGCGAATGAAGCGTGATCATACAGCTTGCAATAAAACAGCATAAGCAAGCATCCTTTTCCCTGCATGTTTAAGCTTGTTGAACATTACAAAGAGAGAGTTTAAGTGTTCAAAGTCTTGACGACCCTAAGCGAAGTTGATGTTTATCTCCCTGGGCAACCCTCTACATAGCAACAGTGCTGGTACCATGCCACAAAAAACTGCACATTCTTCCAAAGAATTGGTTTTGGGCAGAAAAGTCCCTGTGAAGATAAAAGCTTAGAATTGATTCCTTACCCTTGGCAAGTGGTCCTGGGTGTTATAGTTGGCATCATAGTCAGACAAGATGTCGAGGACTTCAGAATACAAGTCGATAAGGGATTTCTGTACGAAAAGGCACAATTTAAATGAACATCGATGTTTACAAGTGTCAGATCAAAATGAGCTGTCCATCCTCATGTGTAACTCACCTTCACTTTTCTTTGATGAATCCCTTTGTCATCTTTTTGCAGCACCACCTTCCTCAGCTCTTTGTTTTCCTTCTCCAGTCTCTCTAGCATGCGCTGATATTTTAGCTGGGGGCATAAACATCAGGGTTCTAGCAGCACCACTTACAAATTTCAACACAAGGTTATAGCCAAGTACCAGTGGTTTATCTCGAGTGGTCAATTTTTGATTATCTAAAACTTTTAAAGGAAAATTGTATGTGTATATTAGTTGTACCGAAAATCTAAAAAGAGATTGGAAATCTAAAGCTTATCTTTAAAAAGTAAGTGACAATACCTGTGTACGGAGCAACTCCTCTTGAAGCTGGTCTAGCCTTTCTTTGTCTGTAGACTAAAAGTCAAAGCAGAAACAAAGAAGGAGAACAGCAGCACATAGTGTTAATGCTCCTGTCTGACTTTTGAATAATGGCTTTCCAGTTAATCTCACAGTGCAGCTTCAAAAAACTCCCACCAGCACCACAAAGGTTCAATACATGCCAACTGTATTATAGAGAGAACCAGAGTAGGAAATCAAGTTAAAGCATAAAGAGAGAAACAAAACATTTCAAGCAGACAGTATTCATTCTGGTATCACTCATCTTCGATCTCAGTGATTCACAAACAGGCACCAATCACAGGTTGTTTCCTGTACATTCGACTGAAATAAATCACAAAATGATCCAGTCATTACAAGGTGCTTTTGAATGACTGGTCGAACCCATGTGATTATCTATATATTTCACACAATTACACCATGTCAGGATGAAAGGACAGGATAGAAAGCAGGAGACAGCGTATTAGAATGGGACGGACAGCCTACAAAGGAATTCGACAGACAGACAAAAAAAACGCTTCACCGCAACTATTTCTAAAAATAAGACTAGAATTCTCTTTTTGATTTAGTTATAGCCAAAGTGAAATTAACATTTCCGAAGTTCCATGATTCAAATACAAAGAAAGGCAACACAAAACAGCTCTCAAAGACTTTAAAGCTTCTACCTTAATCCTACAGCTAGGTTAGGTTCATTCATGTTAGTTTCAACGAGCACAGCTCACATCATGCAGCGGGCTGGAACTCAACTCCATGCTGTGCTTCCATACGTTAGCTGAGAACTGCTGACGGTCTTCCCGACACTTATATGATTGAGTGAAGCCCAGCTGGTTGCTGTTTTTCTGAAACTAGGCTACGGAGGTCCTAGCATGCCCCTCTGCAGACCACTGGTCCATCTTAACACAGCCAGAGAAACAGCTAACACATGGAGGCCGTTGTGGGGGACAGCGGGGAAGTGACTATAAGAAACTGACCGGCCACTTAAATGTCAACTTTAAAACATTAGGTATAAACATATCTAAAAGCCACACAATATCTTTATATTTGGGGGCAGGAAATAGGGCCCTTATTAAATAAATGTGCAGTTCAGCAGGTTAGTTTAAAAGTGAGTGTTCATTTCTAGCTTTAGATCAAGTTATTCTTCTTCTGTGGTTGGAATAAATCAGATTAGGAGCAAAGCAGGCTGTATTTAACTCACAGTCAAAGCACTGGAGATACTGTTTCTGAGTTATATTTAAAATGTTTGTTGTTGCTCCGTTATTCTTGTACATCGATCAAATGTATGATACTTGTTTACTCTTAACAGTAAACAAAGAGCATCCAATAAAGCATGTGTCTCACATTTGATCAAATTATGAAGTAGTTCTAGAGAAAAATTGAAACTGGAACTTGTTTTGTTTCCAAACAAAACTGAAGTCTGCACGGCCCTAAAACATGAGATGTTGCTCTACGCTTTGGCTGCCAAGTTCTGGGAGTCGCTGGTGGGATGGGGCGGGTCTAAGTGGGGTGGGACCTTCACCTTGCGCTTCTGTTGAGGGGGGCTGGGGTTCGGAGGCGGACTGGGAGCAGGCTCTGGCGGTGGGGGAGGCGCACTATTGGCAGCAGCGGCCCGCCGGACCTCCTCCTCGTGCCGCTGGATCTGCTGCTGAATAAGAATGAGCTCGCCGAGCAGACCCTGCTGGGGTACGTTATAGTGAGAGAGAGGAAGGAGGAGCAACAGAAACAACAGCGGGCCACTGGGCTGGTCAGCCATGCAGGCCAGTGCGGCAACCCAACACAGGAAGCCGACACTGGTGCTGTCCAGAGAGGTCATTCTGCGGAGACTCGGGTTGGAAAGAACCAGAATCTTTCTTGCTTTGGTAATCTTGCCATCATCATCAGTGCAACCCAACAAAGTCAGTATCTCTGAAACACAAACTTTGCCTGACTAAGGGCAGAGGAGGCGACTAATACCACAACCAGAGCCTCTTAGTAAGTGGCAACGGGCCTTAGATCACCAGCGTGGGCAACGTAACCGCTCTACGCTCACCACCATGACGCGCAGGTCGCCTCTGACAATACATATATACAGACCAAAGATGAAATTCATGTTATGCTACAGCTGCAATTCTGGGCACAGTCTTTGATGTTTTGCAACACAAGGTTAAGCGGCTCTAAACAGCTGGCCTGATGATGCTGAAGATGAAGATTCAATAAGCGAAGCAAGCACTGGAGTACTGATCTATGAAGGCGAAGCACAGAGCAGGTGAAGTTTGCCTTAGCTCAGAAGTCCCCAACATGACATGGGCGTCTCAATCATCGGCTTTATTTTGGCTTTTTTAAAACTCTATGGAATTGAAAAGTAACAGTGAAGGTAAACTGTTGAGAGAGAACTTGGAAAAATGTCCGGTTCATGTTGGAGACCGCGATTTCAGGCTAAAAAGCAGGGAACAGGAAGGGAAGGCTGTTTATTTTAAAAGCACCTTTTCTTGATTTTTAATATGAGCCCTTTAACATTCCCTCTGTTTAAACTGTGCTGTGATACAACATTTAAAAAGACATGAAAAACTGGAGGGTGTAGAAACAAACTGTTCAGGATAAAAGATAAAATGAATACGGCAGAAAAGGGACAAAAAAATGTAAAAGTATTTTGTTTGAAATGGACACATAGGAAAACATTCAGAGGTATGATCAGGAGAGGTGATGGTGCTGTGTGTGGACTGTCTGCCTGAGAAACATAGAAACTGAAAGTTTTGATTTAATACCAAAAATAAACTATATATATAAAACATTTCCCACTATAAAACAGTTATAAGACTATAATACAGGGTTCATTAGCGTTATCTGTATCATTAGCTTTAAGCCTGTCAAACATTTCACTTTCAGAAGAACTGGCTGAATCAAAATTTGCCCCAAAATACCATACATTTCCTCTTACATCTAAAATGCTAATATTAGTCACAAGCTTTATAGAACTTTTACCAATGGTGAAAATTGTGACTTTTTGTACGAAGCTTAGTTCCTGGGGATGTTTTTAAAAGTATCTCTGAGGACATTTTGATTCAACTGTCTGCTGCTCCTGAGGTGAGAGGAAGCCAAAGTGCCGGCAGGAGCTGAATGAGACTATGTTTCTGTGGCGTTGAGAGCAAAAAAAAGCTGAGAAGCGTTAAGTCCTTAAATAAACTTGCCTTTTTGTACTGCTTGTCACTGGCATCGTGTGAGGCTGAAGTGGAAGAATCGGAAGCTTTCAGTGCAGGATCACTTGAAGTGTCTGTCAGTGGAGACATGACAACCCATAAACAAAATGTTACCATTGAACAAGTATGTTCAACATCAAATCAAATAAGGGCAGGAGATTATAATACATGTAGCTGGGAGATGTCGCATGATCTTCAATAAAGCATGCCTACGATAGGAAACATAAACACCATTGTGATTTAATTCAAATGTTTGGAAAATGTTTGTACCTAAATTATTTTATGATCAATAAAGTACTGACAAAATATTCAAAAGTGTAACAGATATAATGCAGTTGGGGTTGGCAGCTTTAAATGCACACAATAAATTATTATTTACAGGTTCTCCATGTAAAAAAACACAGAGAAACTGTCTGTGGCACATCTTGAGCTGCAGTTTTCAGATGCAACATGTCTTAAAATAACTTTTGCTGTCGATGTCAAAATAAACACACACTGACCCTCAAATGACACACACATTCTGAAAATGGTCATACAGTCAAAAGTGAGCAACTTAAATTCTGATCAGTTAACATGCTGTACTCTCTATCAGAACAGTAGTCTGCTCAACTGTAAATTAGGCAGGTTTGCTGTCAAATAGAATATCTATGTAAAATATGATATGTATATTTTTTTTAAAAGACAATATAGTGTACTCGGAAAATACTTTTCTAAAGCCTTAAAGAGGTAAACAGAGTCTTAGGAGTGAAAGCAAATAACTGGGAATAAGAGCGTGTCCTTGGTTGTGGTAGAAGACTGGTCCCATCTAAGAAAGCAAGCAGTTAAGCGTTTCCAGCTTTAACTTAAGTACATTTTCCAAACATTTGAGAATCAACAATTAAGGACATAAAAAAGGTTAGATATTAGACTGTAATTAGCAAAAGGAGAACCCCATTCAGGCCAGGTGAGAGAAAGGGAGGAAGTCAAAGGAGGCAAAAACCACACAGATAGGAAAATACAGAGTCAAAGACACGTGGGTTAAAAATAGTACAAAAGGAAAGGGGAGCATACTACAGACACACTATGGATTTCTCCATTTAAAAAAACTCCCTCTGTAAACTATTTCCGCTGTAATCTTTACATATAAAAATCTGGAAGGAATTTGAAGAATTTGTAAAAAGTGAAGTTTGTGGACAAGTTATAAATAAGCATACTTTTTAAAAAAAGCTCCAGATGAGACAATATGACCTTTCCCGACATACAATTGAGTACAGAATCTGTGTAAACAACAAATAAAGCCACTGTTGTCAGTAGTGTTTGTCTGCAGAAGAACAAACACCACCTTGAGAGGCTAATCATATCAAACCTACCGACGTCAGGAGGGAAAGAGACAGAAAGAAAAGAGGGGATTGGCCAACGCTACTAAATGCAGGATTTACACACCTAACAACAGATGCAGACCAGAGGCTCCTTTGACTTCACTACCCAAACTCACACCTGTGAAGAACGTGGAGGAGGACAGGAGGGGGAAGGGGGAGATAGGAAGAATAACACAAGATAAAATCATAAAAGACAGAGCCAGAGGGATGGTGGTCAAAGCAGGAATGGATCTCAGTGATGTGGATTAATACGGAGCTGCCACTGTGCCAGAGCGTTGGGCTCATTACTTTGAACCCATGCTAAATAAATCTTTATGACACCATGTCAGTCCACACAAACTGAAAAGCTGAAGTTTTGCTGATAATAACCACAACCAGCAAGAGGCCGTGGCAAAGCAGAAGCAAAAATAAAGCAGGTTACTTTTGTCTACTGCACTGCAGCTCTTAGTGAATTAAAAAATGTTCTCATTAAGTGATTAAAATACTAAAATATATAGTACATGTATGAGGACCAATGTATTGAGATTAAAAATGTTATCTTCCATCTTTTATAAGCTTTCACGCACAGATAACTGATCCATAATTTTTTTACTCACCAGGTGAAAGGAGGCTTTTTAGGAACGTGAAGTTCTCTCCAATTTTGTCAAAATCAGGGAGTAGTTTGGCAATTTCTTCCAGCTCTGGTAGAGCTTTGGCCAGTTTGTCTGTGAACAAAATCGAACATGGTCAAATGGAGGTGAGTAATATTTGTGAGTTTTTACTTATGACACAACTGAAGGATGACATTGCAGGGTATGAGCAAACTAATTTGAAACATGGAAAAGAAAGAAAGAAAGATAAAACACTTACCAAGATCAATTTGTTCACTCAGTTCCCAGACAAAATCAGGAATAACCCAGTTGTATTCACTAAAATCAGGCAGCATGTCCTTCCACTCTTCATAAGTCTGAGGATAAAAATACAAAATGTTGGTATTTGATGACAATATTTTTAAGCATATTTGATCCACTGATGGAGAAAAAATAATCAGGGTTTAATTTAAGAGAATGAGCAATAACAAAAAAATATAAATTCTCACTGACCTTCTTCGCTGTGTACCCTCCTCCCACTGCTGAGCCCAGCAGAATGTATCTGAGCCTTAATAGTCGAGCTGCAAGACGGGCAACCCAGAAATTGCGTTTCTGTTGATAGCTGCGGCCACCGGATCCCGGGGGAGGCTTTGGAGGCCGCATGGGCAAACGGGACATGGAGGTGAAGTATCGGGCTGCTGTACGATGAGGGTTTCGCTGAGGGTTGGTGTTTCCAGAGTAGCGATGGTGAATAGCACGGGACAGAGGATGAAGCTTCTGTAGCGGCACTCGAAATCTAATCCCCATATTGGTAGTGACCAGATTCTTGCATGCCATGCTGAAAAAAAAGAAAAAATACGAAGATGTGATAAAAAAAAGAAAGAAAAAGAAAGTGTAAGCAGTAGCAACTAACAAGGACAAGAACAAGGGTGATTGGAAATCAGAAAATAGAAATACAGCTGTCACTTACAAATAATATAATTATCACAAAATAAATACAATAGGAGAGGCCAGCTAATCAAGAAAAGGAATAAACAACAACTGATCTCCTCACTTCACAAAAGCTTGCAAAATGATGTGTTTAAATTAAGAGGTGACTTAATACAATACTTATTTATCATCATTATCAATATATGGATGAGCAGACTTTTCTTAAAAAATCAATTATATTTATGAGATTCAAAACAAACACTTCTTTGTATTTTGATTTTTATTTGCACTTGACACAGTATTTCAATGGTATATTTCTTAAATTCAATGTTATGACTTTATTATTGGCTGAAGGACCAACATATTGACGAAGACATAAAGTTAACAGTTATATTTGCAACAGTACGTTTGACTATCAGTAAGGAACACCAAACAAAGCTGTCAGTTTCATATTCCAGGTAGTCACCCTTTAAGACAGTGGCTGCTACACACAGGAAACGAGAAAAAAGGAATATAGTTTGAGTCTATGACAACGCTGCTTGTAAACAACAGACGTTGACATCCATTAAACTCAAACAAACGCTTTGCTTCATGTACAGTGGCGTTCCTTAAGCGCGAGACATTACTGAAACCTGTGAACAAGTCTCTTTGGTGTCAAGTAATACTGAACAATCACGACGATAACAGATACGTTCAATTACTATACAACCTGTATTAGCTACATGGCAGGTCAGTTAGTCGGCTAATCGTTACGTCAAACTCCACACCAGCACACAAGGAGACACCAGCAGCATGAGGCGAAAATGTCAGTGAAAAGTGTGTGGATAGAGCATCCACTTGAATCTGAATATTTCAAATATGTGTATTTTCCCTATGGCTCAGAGGCTACTGATATCATCACAGAGCTAGCTATCCTCATTTGACATAAGGACCCGCTACATATGCCTTCCTTACATTGCATGTAGCATTAGCTTCCCAACCGTTACATTAAGCAAATAGATACTCACCAGGCAGCTTTGCTCCCGACACGTAACATGGTGCTGTTAGCAGTGGGGTCAACGTCAATCTTTTTCAAATTCACTCTTCAGGCACAGTTTAATTCATCTTTCCAAATGGTACACATTGGCTTGCCTGTTTTGGCAGCTAACTAGAATGCTAGCTAACAAGGACACAGACAGGATGACAACCCACTTCCGGTCAATAGTGCTACTTCCAAATCAGTCCGGATAGAAAAGGCTTCCATAAAATTATTCCACCGTGTCAGAATATTTATTGAAGACAGTTAATCTACATTAGAACGAACCTGACCCTACAAATAATTTCCTTTTCATTAGAAACAGTATTAACATTATGATCCTTGACTACCTTTACATGTATCTTTTACTGATAAGCCACTGAACAAATAAGTAAACATGTTTGTTGGCCCCTAAGAGTAGAGCATGAAACTTTATACTATAATTCTATCACTCTGGAAGCTAAATTTGTACTTTCCGATGTTTAGAATAGAATACTAAAATAATTAATGTTGATCAATAATAACATTAATTTATTTTCTTCTAAAACATTTGACAAAATATTAAATTCCCCAATTCAAAGTTTGGATCTTGCAGACATAAGGACAACGTAGTTCTACGTGTTGACTGGGTATTTAAATAAGGAACATAGATAAGTCAACCAGAAAGTTAAATTTGAATAAAAAAGTGTAGTTTAGATTGTAAGAGCCAGAGCATATCTGGTTTATGACCGAGTGTTTGATGCTCATGATGATCCATTTATGAACCTCTGTGTGATGTAATGGTTAGTCTGGTGCATATAACCTTAAGAGCATACATGGAACAAGACTCAAGCTATTGTGTGTCGCTTTGAAAAAAACTCAACAAAGTTAGACAAAATCTTCTTTGTAAAAGAAGACTTCAGTTAAGAGATATCTTTTTTTTTTTTTTTAAGTAGTAAATGCAGAAAAATACCTTTTAAAAAAGCATTTTTAATACATAATATTGCTCTTTCATGTTTCCATGTGTACTATTATGTTATTCAATAATAAGTGATCTGCCACAAAATTGAGATAGTCAAATTTATATAATTACATGTAATATATGTCATTCACTGTCAGGTCTCCGTTTTTACCTCTCATCATTGCTTTGAGGATATATAATTGTTCATTTTCACATTCAAAGGAGCTTTACCAATTTATCAATTCCTAAATCTTGCCAGACCAAGACTCGCAAGAAAAGATCACATATGTTCTAATACATGAGGATGGCCTTCCATTAGCCCAGTTTAACAATTTAAGAATGGGGCAATTAGTCAGGTCACATTTAAAATGCTTTGTTTAATTCTACATCTCGTGCCCACAACTGGTGATAATTATGTAGATGTCAACCGCTAATAAAAATATGGGAAACTAGATGCTTCCTGTAAGTTTTTGCTTTACGTGCGTGGAAGTAAATAACTAAAAAGGCATGCAACAGCCTGCTTTAAGAACATTTATTGAAAACAAATCAAAAATAAAAAGCTGATACAATCCCCAGGGAAGAGAAATCAAAATAAATAAAAAATAAATTATAAAGTACAAAAATCTTTAAAAAGTACATTTCTGCCACAAAAAAAAAAAAAACATACATCAGATGAGCGTCTGGTTGAGGTGTGGGAGCTGCAGAAAATAAGCACACCAAATAACTGAATTGCATGTGGACAATAGTAATAATAATAATATTGATAATAATAATAGGTCAATGGTATATTTTCCATTCAGTGGGGTTTCAACTTTTATTTATTTTTCATTACAAAGAGGAACAGTTCCCTGAGGAAATAACATCCACGAGTCATTTGCCCAGAGGTGGGTTCAGTCTGAATGCCATGCAACAGTTTAAAATACGTGAGGAGGTCAATGCTAACTGGGAACAGTCTGTATACACATTTTCTTGTACCTGTTGAAAAGCATAGTTCTGTAAAATCCTTTGCTTTGACGAAGTTGTGTCATAATAAAAGGCAGAATTGTTGTACTGAAGAAAAGCAATAGTATATTTACATGTTGCACATCTATTAGTTGGTTTATTTCTGCATGGAGATGCATACTTGTTTTGTTCAGAGCAGCATTATAATCGTTTACTGTACAGCCTACGGATGCTGAACAGCAATGCACTTTTGCCTGCCAATTACATTTTGACTGAAGGCGAGCTGAGTTTTAAACCTGACCAGAAAAACATACACTGAATGATTAGGCAAATTCCTATTGTGCTAGGAGGTTGTGTCTGACCTACAATGACTGAATTCCCTTCTTTTATCAGATTATTTGATGAATGCACAGCATTGAGGCATAAGGAAAAAACAAAACAAAGAAACAAAACACACATACACAAAAAAAGGAAAGCTCATAACCTGGACCACGAAGAGGAAAATTTCTCACTGAGGGGTGCTCATAATCAAACTTAATTCCAACTCCCAAACAGACATTGACTGTCTTTTGACTCGTGTATGTCAGACCTAATCTGCGAAATGAACTCATGTCCAAAAAACACGATTATGCAACTCCATCGTGAAAGAAAAAGTACAAATAAATCAAAAAGACAGTACAAATCAAAAGTAGACAAACTGATTTTAACACAGTACCAAAACAGTAGAAAAAGACGCGCCAGCCCTTTGATAATAATAAAATAAAAAAAACAACAAAAGACCTCAGATTTCTTTAAACTAAATCTAATTATTTTTATGCGCACACTAGAAATGTACATCTCATATTTACATATCTTAATATCCTTTTCTACTGTGTCCAATCTGAGACAGTTATGAGCACAGGCAAAAAACAAACAAACAAAAAACAAATCTAACATTTTGCCCGTTTAATTTTTTTCCTCTTTTTTTTAACATTTTTGAAAATGTTTTAAATAGGTCTAACTATAATTACATCTCTTTGGGAAATAAATCAATAGTCATTGTATTGCATTGCATTAAATTTCTTCTGAATAACATTCAATCTTAGCCTAGGTATCTAAGAAAAAAAAGAGAGAAAAGAACCAACGACTAAAACGCGTGGGCCGTTTGGGCGCACCAGCAACAGTGTATCAATCAAACTGCTATAAATCTTCACATCACGCAGTGATTTTCACTAGATTATTCAACTTTACATATTAAATATGCATCACACCAGCATTTCCACTCCAGATCCATAACCGACAAAACAAAATATGAATAAACAATGTAGAAATGAAAACTGGTCAATATCAAATTAGGGAGACAATGATTTGGTTTTTACAAACAGGTAATCTTAAACTCTGATATAAAAAATCTGCAATGATTATGACTTTTTCCCCCCAAATGGACTAGACAAACACATATGATAGTGTATGGAGTATGAAATGATTTGCCCAATTTTCTGAGAGAAAGTGGAGTATCACACATTGGTCAGCGTTTTTTTTGTGCCACAGTATGACCAAAACCTGAGCAGAGAACCTAAAAACGATAAAAACTCCGGAGAGGCAGGCTTCTGTGGAAATGTTACAACTCAACTGGATCTTAAACGTTAATAGTTGCGTTTTCCTCTAAAGGGACGGGTCAAATGTCCATTCTAACATCCAATAACGCCTGAATTCGACGGCTCTGAAAGCAGTTTTAGAAGATGGCCTTTTCTTAATTTCAGAGGCTGACAGTACAAATGAAACCGTGTCTCTAATGTGCTAAATGCACATCTGAAAGCAGAAGCTTTCTGAACAAATCCACCAACGGGTTTATTCTTTCTTTGTGGAACAAACTACAACTCCTCCAGCTGTTCTACGAGTTCAGTCAGTCTCTTAAGGGTAAGTGTTCCAGAAAAGATAGAACAGACAGTGTCTCTTATTTAGCCAGGGAGCAGCACTACTTAAATAAAGCCCTTAGCTCTATACAGATAGGATATGGATAAAACATAAATACTTTACTTTCAGTTTCCATCTTTTCTAAATATTTTGAAGGGATGCTGAATGCCATGTCCTAACTTACTACAGCGTTACACTTCCATCAAGTCTTCCACGGGAAGAAATCCTTCTTTAAAAAAAAAAAGGAAATTAAAAAACCAAGGACTTTCTGGATCCCAACTGAGGAGTTTCAAAATCTATGATGCTATGATTAATATAGTTTCATGCATGTGGTTCTAACTGTCCACTATCAGTAGCCAGTTAACATGTTAACTTGTGAGAATGTTTCTAATATTACAGTCATCAGCGTTTTTAAGAACTTTAAGATCGGCTGGTGGCTTCATGCAGGTCTTTGTGCGTTTTCTGCTGACAGAAGATGGCTCACGGATGCAAACATCAATGCAATTAATTAACGGTGATTGGATGTCTTGACGATATTTTGTGATAAATTGAAAGTTTTGTCAAGACGCAATTTTTCAAAAGAAGGCGGTGAGAAAAAGCTACCCACAAACTTACAGCGGAAGTAAAACATGTTACATGATTATTAATGCCACTACTGACAGTGAGGATTCAGGCATACGTTTTAGAGGTATCCAGTGTGACAACATTATATTTAGGTGTATAGTTTACGGAATCAGAATTCATCCTGTTGAAAACATGTTTGTCCGATAATTTACTGAGATACACAATCTATTCTGCAGTCTCCCCTAAATGACCAACAACTCCGAAGTAATGAAAAAGCCTATCGAAAATAAGTCTGTTCATTTTCTTCTTACATTTTATTAATCCTCTCCCAAGGAAAAAAAATTAAAAAAAACTAAAAAAACTTAAGTGATCAAAGTGCACAGTAAATTCATCTACCTCCAAATTAAAAATAATAACCTTAAGTCTATGTATATGTAAATATTGTGTTTCAGAGCTCAGTTGTTTTGTTGTTAATCTGTGATAATTAGCGATGTAATCAAGCATTTGGTGATAAAGTCATGCCATTTTTACAACCTACATTCCCCAAACTTATAACAAAGAAGAAAGTTCCGCATGCTTGTGGATTTAAATTAAAGACAACTATTCAATTCCATGAGGTGGTTAAGATCTTTTAGATTTAGGTTGAGATTTTCAACAGGCTTCAGCAGCTCTAACGAAAAAACAAGAAAAAAAAAAAAAATTCCCACAGAAAAATGGTGCCATTTCTAACCCGCTGATTTTTAGTTACCATGCCTTACACAGACAATAAGATATGCTTATTTTGGTGTTCATCTCCAAGTGGGAATAAACAATTCTCCCTTGGTAACACAACTCAATAAGACACTGACAACAACCATGATAAATCTCTAAATCTCCAACAACCAATTGAATGCTGGTCTCAGAAGTGTTTTCTTCTACCATTAACCCTCATGATCGTCTTCAAAACTGCATTTTGTTCAGCTCTGTCTTCTCTGAGGACTGACCAGGTGGCTAAGGCCAGCCATTAATATGACGATGCCTATTTTTTGTGAGGGATCACTACACAGTAGCAAGCACAACCTGGGTTCCTCACACCAGCAAAGAGATGGAGGCGTCACTCAGAAACACAGAGTTGACAATATTACTGCAGTTTGAGCTGTATAATCATTATTCCATTATCAACAGTATCCCTCTGCTATAAAGTGCAACCTTTCCCCCCTCAGTATTACTTTCAGAATCATTCGGTCTTTACGCCCATCTTTCATCACATGGGGGCAAAAATACAAAACTTTTTTTTCCTGGTTAGAATGTTGTCTTTCAAAAGCTGTTGTTGTGTTTCAGTGCTCTCTTAAAGACTAACTGGATTTTGAAAGATATGGTAAAAACATCAAATGACTTTTGTGACAATCATAGAAAAATAATTAAATCTCACATTCAAGGCCTTCTTTGTCATTTCTAACGGAGCATTTAACTCTTAAGATAAAAATGAATAGATTTTTTAACCGATTTGGACTGATTCAATGCAACATTTTTTAACTTTGTCCACTGAAATTAAATGTAACCACAAGCAAATGAGACCTAAGAGCTTTGGTGAGGGGTGGGCCCGTTCATTTGGTCTCTGTGTGGTCACCTTAAACCTTTACCAGTTTTTGGATGTACAAACATTTCATTAAACCGCGTCGAATATCTTCAACTTGACGAACCTCCCGTCACAACTCCTGAATGAAAGCTAAAAAATTGACAATGCTTATGGAGTGGGGGGGTGCTAGGAGTTGACAATGATTCGATTGGCAGAGCCATTTTCGGGGCGGGGCTTGGCCTCTGTGGTGGTAGTTGGCTTTGGGGGCCAGTCGGGGTCCACGCTGAGCTCCTGGGCCAAATGCATATAGCGGGCTTTGGGGGTCATCTTGCCAGGGCAGCAGAGCCGGGACACACACTTGTACGCTTGCAGGTCGATCCCTCCCTGAAAATACCACGTTGTGAGAAATAAACACATTAAAGCAAACGAAGGGGGAAAGGAACAAGGGACAGAGGTGCATTCAGACTTTGGTCGGGATTTCTTAAACGCAATGACAAATCAGACAGTCGCATGCTGCCACATTTGCTGCATGCAAACAATACAACTGAAGAGGATCCAGTTGTAAGATACACAGGCATGTTTCATGCATGCAAGTCACTCAACAAAAGTCAGCGTGATAATAGTAAGAACGGAGTTGGCAGACACCAGCTTAAAGATTGAGCCGACTCCTTAAAAAACAAGCTCATGAAGACAAAGATCTTCACAGATTAACAACCAAACCAAAAGAAAAGTAGAAAAAAAAAATAAATCAAAGATTTCAATCACTATTCTTATGGTCAAGAAAACATTGAGTGAGGCTCAGTTTTAGATCATAATGTCCTTCATGGGAAACACTGATCGTGGTGACTGTCACAGTTAACTATGATCTAAAAGGGAAACTAAAAGCTAAGCGCAGAAGATAGACTACAGAGCTTTCAAAGTGGAAGCACAGTAAAGACAGGAGGAAGAGAGGCAGCAATAAAACATTTCAAATGCTAAAACGATGTAAGACAGCCCTGTTTACAAAGGAAGTTTGGATGCAGAGAATAGGCAAAAAAAAACGGGGAAAAAAACAAACACTCACTGAAAAATTACTCGTCGTTTTTCAGAGATTTCTTCGCATTTCAATTATGCATTACCTTTCCCCAGCGTCAGTCTTGTACAGAAAATCCATCCCTTTGCAATTTGGATTTAGCCGATAACATTCAAATAATGTTTTCTGTTCGTTTTTCCATTTTACACTGCATCCCAACTTATTTTGGAAATAATTAATGATGCATTTCACTGCAGGTATACATGACATTTTTCACCAGAGTGGTGTATTGTGTGACTGGGCGTCAACAACTTCGAGGCTCATTTCACAAAGAGAAAGCTGAGGATGCTTTTGAGGCCATTGAGCTCAGAAACTACTCATTTCTCCTGCCTTGTTGCTTGTCGTTTGTTTTGGAGAAGGCTTGAAAATAAATTGTGCGTTACTAGCACAGTTTCACCACCTTGAACCTCTTCTTGTCTCATTGTCCACCTGCTGTGAAAACCAACTGAAGGAGCAAAATTTCTAAGGCAGATATGAATAATGCCCCACAGTGACCTTTACACGACTGAGCTGCTCTGTTTCGAATGAAAAAGGTCCCTGTTACTTATAACCCCCTGAAACGAGTGCACGGGAAAGAGAGTACAGGTAAGGATGAGACTTTGGTCTCACATGCATGTCTTAATAAGCGGTAGCATTAGAAAAGGTGCGCTCTGGAACATTAGAAATACAAGTAAGGACAGAGAGAAAGAACACCACACACGAGGAGGAAAGGGCTAGTGAAGAAGGTGTCAGATTTTCCCAACCTGTGGTGAGGGGCCAGCAGGGGTGACGTCAAAGTTGCCCTGTTTGTCTCTGCTGAACACAAGCTTCCATAAGACGATGTCAAGGATGAAGGTCTATGGGATAGCGCAGTGGGCAGGGGAAAGAATTAAAGAGAGGCTAATTTGATTTCACATAGCTCCTGCCATTTTCTTTTCTTCTGATGCCTTTCAACTGATTTTGCGAGCCAAACACTTTAAGAAACCATCAACGGGGACCTCTTCTTCTGTGCAACAGTGTTATTCAATAAATGTGAGGTTGAGAACAAATTAGTAAGAGGAAAGCACATGGACGCTACTGTCTTAGAGTACTGAACATTTTTGATTACGCAGAATGAGTTCAGTGGAATTAGTGAATTCACTGAAAAAGATTAGTAGAATTTGCACTGGTTACTCAGGAGAAAGCCACATACGAGGTGTACGCTAGGCAGTGCATGTATGCGAGGGCAGCCGTCTAAGAGGAAGGAGATGGTGATGCTGAGCCACCGAGCGTGGCAGATCAGAGAAAACTATCCATTACTCTAGCAGCTAAACAGCAAAAATTATTTTCTTAAAAAGCATTTCTATTGTAAAACCAAAGAAAAAAGGTAGTTATGCTAGATAAAAGTTCTTCATTCTGAGAAAGCCCCACAAATGCATACAGTACAATTCACCATCAAAAAGGGTTATACATTTTCTGCAGTTAACCAATGAAAATACCGCTTTTCTCGAAAAGAAAAGCCTTCATATTAAAACACATATTGTTCTGAGAACACAAGACTTATCCAGGTGCTCCAGCTGAATGAGACAAAGATGAGCACATTGCATGAAAAAAGAAAACAGAACATGACAAAAAAAAAAAAAGAAAACATCTACTTTTACTGAATGTGGCGTTTGTCTTACCTCCACCACAACAGACACAGCCGCATTGACGAGGATGATCAGGAAAAGTTTTACCCTCCATTCAAAGGGGACACATACAATCTGTAGAGACCAAGAAACACTTATGACTGAGCTGAGAAGAAGAAAATCATGAATACACCTAAACTATGGCAGAGACATGACTGCATTAAATCAATTTTAAGAAAGTTTAGTATGAAAACACATTTAGTTCATTTACCTACCTCTAAAAACTCATCAATGCTTTCAACAGGATGAAACATGATGAAGAGCAGGAAAATATACAGGCTTACAGTGGACAGCATGAAAGGCCCTGAGGAGACAACGCAACCGTTAACATTAAAATAAAGAAGAGTTCCTCCTTTAGCATACACACATCAGAGTAAAGACAGGAGGGTCTTACAATTCTTGTAGCTAGGCTGTCTGAAAGGTTTGCCCTTTGAGAAAACGATGGCAACAATGAGATACTGGAAGGAGGAGACATAGAAGAGGCTGGTATTCTCAAAGTTTTGGATGTTGTGGTCGTCCACTTCGGTCCCGTTGAGGTCAGACAGATTCAGATGCGAGGTGAGGTTGCAGACACTGAATGAGGATAAAATTTGAGTCAGACGCCAAACTCTGCGCGTGGTTTTCATTTCCTATTTTCTCAGATGCATTATGAAATCAGCTAAAAGCAAACTAAGGCTGGACAGAACGTAGTATAATAGAAGGCGCTCACTCTGTGAGAGGTGTCCAGTTGGAGTGCCAGGGCTGCTGTTGAACCCAAAGGAATGTAAAGGTCTGGAAGCCCAGGCAGATGAGGATTTGTGTCAGCACGGAGAAAAGCAGAGGCCCTGAGATCAGTCCAGAAGGGGGACGACGGGACACCAGCTCGTTCCATGCTGGGTTCAGACTCACTAAGGGGGAGCGGAAAATGGACACAGAGGGTGATGATATGTGGCATTGGTTACCAGAGTTACACCATGGGACAGAAGCACTGGCTTTTCTTGGTCCTTTTTGCTGTACTTACTAGTGAAAACGATAAGGAGAATGATAGCAATGTCAATGAAGAGGAACTGGAAGTCTCCGAGGTTACTTAGAATCTATGACAGAAAAACAACAGACAAGGTTAGTAAATCTAGTTGATTTCGAGGCCGATCTAACAGCTGAGGAGGCAGCATTACGTACGGAGTAGAGGAGAGTGACACTTATGTATTGGATGATGCTGTAGAGAGCCATAAACTTGAACACACAGAAGGAGGTGATAAGAGCAGCACGTCCCTCCCTGTAAAGAGAACTCTTTCATGTTTCCAACCAACATATCATTTCAAAGGAGGGCATAAGGATATATGATGGTCTACTGTTGTAGATGCATTGCAGCAGAACCATAATCAGCTTACAAAGTTGTATTTTTCAAACCCAGCAGCAGGGAGAAATTAGCTCAAATATAGCTTAAAATACATGGATGAAAATCTAAATCCTTGAGACTTTACCCCAGTTTGTTGATTGACTAATTCAAAGTAAAACATGTAAAAGAGAATTAAAGGAAAACCTTATGAGGCTAGGGACACATGAGATGTTGGGGGTCCGTGAGGTGAAGGGAGAGGCTACTGAGGCTTCCAGCTCCGACAGAGAGATCCCACCGTGTGCCCTCTTCAGAGCCTGGGAGAGGGAGCACATTAAAAATAGCTTAAAAATACTGCCATCTCGACTATGGGCTTCACATGATGGTACTGTTATACAACGTTACATACCCCACAGTCATTTGCTCCATCTCCACACATTCCCACAAAGTAGCTGAAAAGGCATGAAAAATGATGTTGTTAAGCCACTTATTCAGAATCAGAATGCCTTTATTGTCATTATAAATAGTCTAACGAGATTAGAGCCACCAAAAACAGTGCAAAATAGGAAAGTGTGAATAGAAAATATGAAGTATATACAATATAAACATGATAACAAGATTATAAGGTTATATTCATCCTCCTTTCCCATTTGGTGACTCCACATCTCATGATTAGATGGCTCACAGTGTCTTGCAGGTCACATAGGAGGTATAAAAGCCTTTTTGTGTTAATGCTGTAAAGAGATGTGTCTTGTGTTTTACTCACTCCACTCCCTGTAGTGCCTCAATCAGCTGGGTTTTCTGGTCCGGCGCCATTCTGGCAAACACTGTCCCGTGCAGCACGAGCTTCGTGGAAGACAAACAAAGTTTCAACAGTTCAACAGAAATCAAAATATTTCAGAATGACTCTTAGCTCGTTTGCAGTCGGAGGGCATACCTTCTGGAGCATATCGGGGAAATGCTCGGCGATTACAGCAAATGATTTTCCGTTCATGGCGAAGTGGTACAACTCTTGGGTTTTGGGCTCGTCTATGTGACACACATCCTCAAGGCTTATGTTTATTTCCTGCTGAAGAGAAGCAGTATTGATTACATTCAACACACTGTTGATGGTTTCAGTGTACAGCTGTGGTATTCTACTCTATCGTGAATTGAACAATTTGGGAAAATGGCGTTATGGTAAGAGCCCATTCTTCACCTCGAGTCGAGTTGTTTTGCTGGGTTTGTCCGCGTATCTCCAGGTGATCTTAGCAGCATGTCCATCATGGGGAGGAAGGGCATCAGCGATGATGACTGTATCCTCAGGAGGGATCATTCCACAGTCCCGAGCCACTGAGATTGCTGTCAGCATGTTGTCACCTTGAGAGTGGAAGGTGAGACCATAAACAAAACCCAAACCATGTTTTACTATCTTTTCACTTTAACAACAAACAATTTGTTCATTAGATAAAACTCAAACTCCAGTAAATAACGGTTATGAATGGGAAAAGGCATAAATGCAGTGACTTGTTGGTAAATACTGGTGGGTTTGCACCTGTAACCATGACGGTGCGGATGTTGGCCTGTCGGAGGTCCTGCAGCACTCCCGGTGTTTCTGCCTTAAGCTTGTTCTGCATTATGATCAGACCCAGAAACTCCATGTTTGTCTCTATTTGATCCCTGGTTCAAAGAGAAAAACATCATTTTAAATGTACTGAAGCTATCTTTCCTAACAGGAAGCATCTTAGCATAACGTTCCCATTTAAAGGCAGCAGCGTCCAAAGGAATTTATGACTGAAGGTGTCGCCTTTGCACTCTTACAACAAAGGGTTTGAATGATTTGCCAAGTTGCTGCTTTCTGATTAACTTTTACACAAACACTTTCAAAGCGGAGTTGAATATTGTACATGAAACTACCTGTTGACGTTCTGGACTTTGTGCCAGGTGAGTTTGGATTCCAGTCGTCGATGAGCTAGGGCAATCACTCTGAAGCCCTGCTTGGTGTAATCCTCCAACACCTCCGCAAAGTTTGCCGGCACTGAAAATGTAATGTGTGATGTCAGTTGGCAAATTAAGAACACAACAGTGCTTGTTTGCTATATCACATGAAAATTGATCCCCTTGACACCAGCGGTGGACTTTTTCCAGGACACTGGACTAGATGAAACCAAGTCTTCTGAACATTTTTCTTTTAATTTCCCCATAACTTCATTTCAAAATGTACAGAGACAACAATGAACTGCACACATTTATCCTGACAGTCAAGTTTAATCTGATGCACATCTAAGTGGTTCGTGTTTGCTTTCAGAACTCACCTGTCTCCTTCTTGCAGAGACTAGCCACCACCTCCGGTGCTCCCTTCATGTAGGCGTCCATTCGCTTCTCTCCCAGGAGACGTGCCACCACGCTCATTCTCTGAAGTCCCGAGGAAAAAGGAAACTGCCGCACGATACCTATCTCATATGCTGTCTGCACATTCACACATAAGACACACAGGAAAAGATATTCAAGCCGTCCATAAGTGAAAGACTTCATATAGAAACATTTAGCAATACTAGTTTTCTTGTTGTGTCCGGTCCTTATACACAAACCTCTGAAGTCTGGACAACCTCCAGTTCATTATTTAGTCATAGTTTACATTTGGGGCATTTTCAAAAATACTACTGACAACTTACCGAAAGCTCGTAGAGTTCCTGTAATAAAACAAAAAACAAAACATTAAAACATGAAATAATTGTTCATTGTAAAATTTACGCACATGTTCTACAATGATGCGTGACAAAATGTTGGATTTGATTAATTTAAACAATTTAATTTAACACTTTCTTAAATAGTAAATAGCTGAAAAGGTGAGTAAACCGGACTGCTGGGCATACCATGTCCTGCTCTAATGATTGAGGGGGCTCTGGTGGCAACAGCTGCTTTGGAGGTCGAACGACAGTGGGCATGATACGATTATGGAGTGCTGTTTCCTCCTCAGTGGCCTCCTCCAGGATCTGGAGCATAAAAATAAAAGGAAATTAAACACTGAAGTCATTTTAAACAATCGATCAATCTAGTTACGGTTCCTGTAAGCCCCAAGGTCATCCTGATGTGAAAAAGAGAGCACTTCTGTTTTCTGGCCTGCATTCACAAGGACTTGATTCATATTAAACTGAATCATCACTTCATGTAACAACTTAGAAAGCTGTTGTGACTTCCAGAAAGACATGTGCAGTCTGCTCATTAACAGAGATAAATTCTACATGTCCACAAGGGGTGGAAACTTTTGAATCATCAACAGATTTGTATACTTGACGTTGTGCCAGACAGATTCTGTCCATGTTATAGATCCACAGCTTTATAAGCGGTGTACAGTGGCATGTTGCCCTAAACAGCACCGTGCCCATGGACAGATAACTCACCCAGCCTGTAGCCTCAAACATTTTGAGATCCAGCGGGTCTCCCGACAGCTGGCCGTCTATTTTGGTGAGGGAGTGGCAGGTGGCCATGCAAGCAACAAACTGGGACTTGACCAGATTCTCCTTGTAGGCATTTTCCTCTGACAGATGAAAACTGGAGTGGTAGGAAAAATGGGCGGTGGATTATTAAGGAGCAATACTTCACTAATTCAAAAAAGTGCAATGAGAGATAAAGCTGAATGACATCCATCTCAGTAATGAGGGCTTAGACACAATATGAATGGAATAATTTGAGATTCAGACCAAATAATTTCTCAACAAGATATTTACATGTTTTGAAAACTCAAACCAACTTACCAGCCATTCTCAACTCTCTGAACTCCTGAAAGGTCTAATCCATCTTCTGTCAGAGTCCCAGTCTTCAAAGAGAAATATAACACACACACACACAAAAAAAGAATGACTCAAGATCCCAGTAAGCTAGAAATACTATCTATTCCAACCACAGTTCACATAAGTGCCTTTGCGCTTCTCTAGAAACCTCGTAACTCACTTTGTCAAAGCAGACCAGATTGATCTGCCCACAAATATTAATCCTCTGCGGGCTGATGCAGAAGATGCCAATGCGTTTGAGACGGCGCTGGGCGTACACTATTCCAGCTGTCATGGCTGCCGGCAGCGCAGGTGGCACAGTGATGGTGATAATGTCCAGGGACTCGATGATGATGGTCTTTGCTGGCACCTGGAAGGCAACACACATCTTATTCTTCTCGTTTGATAGTCAAATGTTTGACTTTTCTGGCTCATGTTCACACATTTCTTGAAGCGGCTGCTTTTTTATTCTGGCGACAGTTTTTAAAAAAAAAAAAAAAGAGCTGCAATCGGCCTCGTGCTTTTCACAAATAAAAACTTTACGTCACAGATCAACTTTGAGCTTTCCTTTTTCCTGTGCTTCAAATCTCTGGAATTGTTTTTTTTGGCGGTTTTGTGATAACAACAAGAATGATGCCAGAAAATGTGCAGCAACCAAATAATAAACAGCACCAACGTGGCAAAAAACAACATTATTAAAGACTTTGGGTTTTGTCACTTGTGTTTGACTAATTCTACTAAGCAGAGGGGAAATCTCCTTAAAATTGTATTCAATTTTAACTCTCCGCCGTATTGAGCTGGTCAAGGGTCACAAGATTAAACTGTCTCAATGTTAACCATTAGAGGTGTAAAGCAGGTTGTTTATCTTTTGTTGTTGTTGCAAGCATTAATTCTGAACTTAATTTAACTGCTGAGATGCAGCTTATTGGACCCAAAATAAAAATAATACACTTTATTTTTTTATATCAATCAGTGTTCTGAATTACCTCCTTCATGATGCTGAGGACAATTGAGTATATAAAGCCGATCCCGGCCACAGCCACCAGACAGAGCAGGAAGAGGTAGGCATCACGATACAGCTTAAAGTCGGTGGGTTTGGGATAAAGGATGGAGCGCACCAGCTGGCCTTTGGCTGTGCTGAAACCTAGGCCAAAAAGAGAGGTGGGTCAAGACTTCTGAAGTTGTTTGTCATTCCTTTCCATGAAGAAGACTTCTTACACATTTAGTAGATCACATAAAATGCTTGCCGAGTGGATACAAAAAAAAAAATGTTTTGGGGTGCTGCCCTGTTCTAGTAATAAACATAATTACTTCCTAGAAGCCATTTAATATGATTCTAGGAAAAGAGGCTGAATTCTACTCAGGATTTGAATAGAGGTTGTGAAAACCTAAATGAACGCAGGTAGCTAAATGCAGTATCTAAAAAGGTACCATTTTAGCATCCCCAACACTTCAAGTTATTGAGTAAAGACCCTCAAACTGACCTGTTCTGACCACCACAGCCTTGACCAGTTCCCCTGTGTAGAAGCGGGTTTGGATGACATGGGTGCCACAGAAGAGTGTGTGTCTCTTGTGCTCCTCTGTGTTGTAGGCACCATCGTCCTCCTCCCGCTCCCCTGGCACTGGGTTTGGGAGGTTTGTCTTTGTCACAGGAACACTCTCTCCTAAGGGAGGGTAGACTCGTCAGGATTGGCTACAGATGGATTAAACGGGGACATATTTGCCTCACTGAATTTACATATCAGTTTAGAGATTTCCCCTCTAACCTGTGAGCATGCTTTCGTTGACGATGCAGGTGCCGCTGACCAGAACAGCATCGCATGGCATGATGGTCCCATTGCTGGGGATGACCATCATGTCCCCAGGCACCAGATCAGTTGACAGTATCTCCTCAATAACTGTAGGGAAATGTTTAATAACAGCTTTGAATGCAAATGAGAGAAGTTTGTAAGGCAGGAGTACCGACTGACAGTGGAACAACTGAGAATAACTGAATGTATTTCTAAACTGGAATAATTATACTTTAAAATAATTAGACAATACACAGAGGGGTGTGTAGAATTAATTCCCCCAACAGGCACATGGCCGACAGACAGATTTGGGTCATTATATCCGAGTCTGGCCCAGTACACTGGCAGAAAATGTCTGCTGTGAGGTTTGGCTGGAATTAAATCTTTAGAAAAGCAGCAAAGTAAATAGAGCGAAAAATGCGAAGAATGCACCTGGAGACAATCTGAGCTCTAAAATAATGCCATTAACACTTCTAATGCAGCTTACCATTGTTGGCTCGGCACACAGACACACGGACAATACTGTGAGCTGCCACCATGTCGTGAAGCATGATGTATTGCTGGAGGTACAAAAACAGTGAAGGGAACTTCTTAATTCCTAGGAACTCCTGAGAGACAGCTGAGTGTTTTCATCTCAGCGTTTGTGCTGAGGCTGAAGCAGCAGATTGTGCACTAAGAATTAAGTTGTCCCTCAAATCAGAGTGCAGAAATGAGGTCATCAATAAAAAAAAAGCACACTGCTAGCAGAAATAGACTGTATCAGTGGTCAGCAAAATGACTGTAGGTGGTACCTTGTCAACTTGGCTTACACATAACTGAATCTGCTCAGTGTGTAAATATCACATATAAGTGTTTCCAAAGGAAACATAGTGGGTCTCACCTTTTTGATGGTGTACAGAGAGGTAGCTATGGATATGACCGACATGAAAACAATGGCCACAGCATAGTAATAATACTCATCGGCACTCCACAGGATCACACTGAAGAGCTGGAAGATGTAAAAAGGATTGAGGACCTGAAAGAGGAAACAATGAGGAAGTATAAATGCAGTAAATACAGGGATGAATGTCTGATGGAGACTGATCTGAGTAAAGACCTTTGTCTACTAGCTAAACAGGACTAAACGTGGGATCAGAATTCCTTGAATGTTCAAGGAAACTGGACTCTACCTCTTTGATAAGCAGCTTGAAAACAGAAGGCACTTTCACTGAAATTTCATTCACTCCGAAGAACAGTTTCCTAAAAAGAGGACAAACCGTGTGTTAGCAGTTGTAAAACATAATTTAAGGGTCTTTGCCCTTTCCCCACACAGGAAAATGATAGTACCTGTACTCCTGCTGGTTCCTGGTCAGGCCTGCACCGTGCTCCGCATGGAGGGTGGAGCAGCTTATCTGCAAATCTTCCAGGCCGCTGTAAAACAACACAAAATAATCACAAAAAGAAAACAAAAAAAACAATAAAGACGCTCTTATTGTAAAAAACTTTACTGCTGAATCTCAAACACAATTACAACCCAATACTAACCTGAGGCATATAGAATATCATTTTGTAAATAGTTTACGAGTGCTTACGTTAAAACCTCAAAGTTCTGAATCCCGTCGTTCCAATAATACTTTGTGCTATGGAAGGTAAAATAGCGAATCTGAAGGGAAAGGAAAAGAATTGCAGTCAAATCTGACAAATGTCTTAATTGTTGCATTCGTATCTATGTGGTTAAAAGGCAAAAACATATGTGAAAAGAAACAGTCAACAAAGATAAACACTGTATTCCCTTCCTCAAAAATGTCCCTTGTGTTTTTTGTTCAAAAACAGGATCAGATATTATGTAATGAAGGCCTACAATGGAGACCACCCACATGAGCAGAAACATGAAATGAGTGCGTGTGACCTAAGAAAAGCCTCAGTGCCGTGAAAATCTTCTGAACACATTTTTAACTAATATGTTACATTACCTAATATTTAGTACTACTGAACATGATTTAAAAAGAAAAAAAACTAGTCAGCCACAGCTGTGTAATCAGTAATAACAAGACTCGAGAGTTTCTGAGAGTGGAAACATGTGCCGTGCCCAGTGTACCTTTGTGGGCTGGTAGTCGGAAAATCTTCCTATGAGGTCCTGAGCAGGGCTGCCATCGGTGGGCTGGGGAGTGTGTCCGTTGGCCAGAGAGGGGGAGGTGGAGAAGGGGCATGAGGGGGAGGCGGAGGGGGAGGTGGTCTGGGTGTCCAGGCTGTGGAAGGGGTTGCTCCCCGGAGCAAGCATCACTCGCACCCTGGCCAGGAACCAGCGCCGGAACTCATCCTGGTCGACAAAACGCACAAAGTTAGGAACCTGTCCTCAAAAACCACACTATGGCCGACTTTACTAATCGAGTTTATTCTACAGGGAAACGCATATCTTTTAATTCTGACTGGTTTAATATTTTATTACAGGTCCACATTATGGACACTGGTAGCTGCAATCCAGTGTTTTCAACAAAACTACAAGTGGTCTGTTCATCGTCTCAACTAACTCAGCCGGGCTCCTTTTTCGACCTACCGTGGAGCGCAGCAGCACCACTTCGGCATCACGGGCTGTGGTACGGGTGCAGGTGGACTTGACGCACCATTCTGGCATCCAGTAGAGCAGCAGGAGGAGGAAGCCCCCTGTACAGAGCACTCCGAAGCCCACAAGCGCCAGCCGCCAATGACACAGGCGGTAGCCTTGCAGCTCCTTAAGGATGGGAGAAGAAACAGCACTATGAGGGGATGGAGCAGAAAAATGATGGGTTAGAGGGCTCTGAGTGGAGGAATCATACCATCTCCTCCTCTTCCCCCTTGTTGAGGACTTTCACGTCTCCTTTCTCCATGTTGCAGAACAGTTTGTCAAGCCCCTTCCTAAGTCACTGGGAAGACAAAGAACAACGTGTTAGTGTTAACAGTCAGACATCAAGAAGGGGGATTCACAAGATGCTTTCCAAGGCACTGAGGAACCTTTCAGTGGGACAAACCAACCCTGCTTACAGATTTCCTGACGACATCTTTGGCCGTTTACCACAGAATAATAAAATTTACTCTGAATTTGCTCACAACTACATTGTGGCGTTCGGCTTCTGTTAACATGAATGTCAGTCGATTCCCATTGAAATGCATTCAGGAGAATATTCAAATCTAAGTGGCCTGAGATAAACAAATGGTGCCATTACACCACAGCAGCAGAGGGAGACACAAACAATGGAAAATAACATGAACTTGAAATGGAAATATGACTAATTTATATCTAGATTTTTTTTTCATACAGACCTATAAAAAAACTGTTCTAATGTTAATGCTTGGATGATCATGGTCAGCTGAAAACTGATCGTCCTGTTAATCCCGGCTATAAAAAAAGCCTTAGAAATACTAGTGATGTATTAGCCTATCTGTGCGGGTGCAAAAAGCAACAAAGAACGGGAAGATGTATTTACACGGAGAATTGACTTCAGCTCCAGAGAAGGCTCAACAAAGCGAGCCTCTGCTTGATTAAGCTTGTAACGCTGGCACGCAACCCAACTATTGCACATTTTCAAGAGTTTTTCACCGCATGAAGCAACAGAGAGGAAAAATGATGATAACATGACCTTGCATATTGCTGACAAATGTGACCGTGGTGTGCCAGGGCACGGTGCCCACAGGGCCACCCCTGTTCTGGCCCTCCTCACTGCCCCTTCAACACCCACTGATCCTGTGTCACTACCCCCACACACACACCAAGATCTTATCAGTCAGCTGCACCCGGGAGAACCTTTTCTCTGGCATACTGTGGGATATTTTGCTTAGGACCAAGCCCTTCCTTGCATTTTACAATGGCAGTTCCCCCCCCCCCCCGGCCGGCGCTAGGCAGTAGGGACCGTGCAACCAGAACATTCCCTCCCAAATTGTGCTAGGAGTGGAAATGCCGACGCCAGGGCATCACAGACAGAGGCATCTACAGTATTTCTAAACTGGAATGGTGACTCAGATAAAAATGCAACTAAAGCAGGATCCAAAAAAAGGATTTTAAAGCATCGAGCTTGGCTCCAAATGTCTGCTGAGGCCGAGCCTGTGCAGAAAACAGAAGGTTGTAAGTTGTAATTTCAGACTACAAGCACACCGCAGCCAAAGTTAAAGTTTTGTGTCTAAAAGGCTAGCTTCTAACTAGCCATATTGACCCCGTTTACTGCTTCAGTACAAATATGTTACACGTTAACTCAAGCTTTAGATAAGTAAAGTTGCGGTTTTCTTCATGTCAGAAAAGAAATATGAAAGAACCGATTGCTTAATGGTCATTTGGCCTTACTTAGCAAGAATTTAATGACTAATTGTACACCGCACGATTAGCATTAGGGTTGAAAATACCAGCCAAGAGTTTACATTCTGATAGATTATTTCAAAGGATTTCTGTGGATGATGTGGCCACAAATGACGATGAAAAGCAATAATGCTGGTTAAACATACATGGCAAAGGGAATGATTAGCCAAAGCTAGAAGAACATCTGGAGATTAGACAAAAAAAGTGTGAAGCGTAAGGGTTACCCTAAGTGTAATAAAAAAGCTACCATACAAGTACTGATGTTAGATAATACAGTTTCTCATTGGAATCTGTCAGCTTAAATGTGTTTTTTTAATACATACGGTCAATATGTATGAAGCATTTTGCTCTATAGTGGACAATTTATAGCGGTACCATATTTTTTTCCTTCCCATGCCTGTCCCTGTTTACATAGGAAGATCTAGTAAGAAGCATTCCCTAAATAATTGTCCTTAGTCAGTCAGAAACATTAGTCGACTTGCTATCTGACCAGCCTTGTGTAATGATCAGCATCCGTTTCAGTCAAATAATCTGCAGAGCTGTCTAGAAAAAATAAACAAAAAGCAGTCTGACTAATTATCCAGCTGGTTAATGGATACATCACAAACTCCTACCTTGAGAGCCGGGAACACAATGCCCCAGGCAGTCCACCTCCCCACAGGTAGCTTGCTCTCTCACAACACCAACCTGGAACCCTGGAAAGAGAGGCAAAGCAAAGAGGGCCGGTGGTTAAAAGATGTCGATATGGATCTGTGAACTCCCAACATGATGGGAAAATGAAGCACACTGGATCACAGAATACATTGTAATGCAGAGACGGTGATTATGGAAAGGTTAACAAACCATTTGGCAACAAACATTTAGTGCAGTATTCTTAGGAACAAGCTGCCAAGCATGCCTGACTGCTTGTCCTGTGTGGCACCTTCTGCACATAGATTTTTTGAGACACCATGTTGATACTAATTAGAGGAAAAGTGAAATTACACCTATAAACCAGCCATCCTGCTGTTGAAACCTGTGGATCCTCTTAACAGGTGTATCAAAACAGCATGATAAAGGTCACGCCCGGAAAAAAAGGTTTTTTAAAGCTGACATTAAATCAGTGGAATGAACTGTTCATTTTCCAGTATGCTTCACTTAGCAGCAAAATTGAACTAATGATTAAAACATTTTTTTTTTAAAATTATTTAACTTTTTTAATTGCCCAACTGACTGAATTATTTTCCAGTTTTTAATTGAATTTAAGGGACCGGACCGAAAAGGGTTTACAGACAGTCCTAACTTCTGTCAGGGCTAATCCTGCCCTGTCGGTTCATTTTACACTTCATCCCACTGATTATTTCCCACAGTGACTAAAGAAACTCACACTACTGCAATTGTTAAGATGACATGAAAAGCCTTGAGAACTTTTCTCAGCTTCTCATTGAAACAATGGAGGTCACAGTCAGGTGATTTCATCTGATTTCCACTCATCCACACGCGTTTCCATAATATTTCTGACTGTAATTCTTTTCCCACATCCACCCAAAATGTATGTACACTTTACTTTTTGAAAACAAGGGCAACATAAGAAAGCAGCGCTCTTCCTTGAACATCGAGGGCCATGTTTGGGGCCTCCAGGAGTCTGCGTGACTTCAGTGTTAATAATAGGCACCTCCAGCCCAGCCTAAGCCCACATTGTTGTCTCTCATTTGATTAGTCTGCTATTGTACTCATAAGCAATGTTGGCTTGAAATAAATAAATAAAATACAACAGGGCAGCTGTTAATATCGTTTTAAACAAGATTAAACACGATTATCATCACTGTTCCAGGAAGAAAAAAAAACAATGTTGGTTTAAAAAGCACTCATGGAATGTAAGCATCTGAAACCACAACAGAGGTAGAGACACGAGTGAAAGCCGCAGGAGCTTTCCCAGCCTAATGTCAGATACATCACCACAGGATTACCATCCAAAACAATCAATTAGTAACTTATGTGTCTGCGCCGTTGGCTCGGCATATATTAAGAGCGACACATTAATTAAAGACCAGACATGTTCTCCTTTCGCATTCAGTCCTTTTCTTCGGCACATAGACAAAAAGGAAAAAGTGAACAATGAGCCATGACCTAATGACAGAAGTCGATAATTCATGGAAGCATTTGGAGGAAAGTGTGTTGTTGCCATCATACTCTGCACTCAATGTGCTTTCTTTATCACTTCCCCTCCTACTTATAGGGTATTACAGCCAAGCTTTGTTTCACATCGTGAGCCAGTCAGGTCAGGATTTTTATCACTGTTGTTACTGGCCGTCTGTGACCACCTGCCCTTACCGCACTTAATCAATACACACTGTGTCAATAAAATATGCATCCAAATGAAAAATGTTTGCATTTATTTTTGGCCATTCTTAATTAGACAATCACATTTTTGTGTTGGATTTAAACGCGATACAACGTCTGATCTGTGATGGGTTTTGATGCCTGTGGACAATCTGTGTGCACCCATGTGCTCTTTCCATATGACTTCTTAGAGGCAGTTTTCTCTCTACCAGCCAAAAGTGCAATGAACAACAGTGCCCCTGTGTTGGAAGGAGACCTATTAAAAAGACATGGAAATGTCATTAGAGAAAAAGGGAAGGTCAAATCAAACCGATCAGAAAGTCGAGCAGTTCTACAAAGTGGATATTATGAGAAGGAAACTGAAGGAGCCAAGCTGGGAAAAAAACTTTAATCCCACAGATCAAACCTTTAAGTCTGACCACATGCTTTTGGATTAACTGGGAACTGTTTGACAGCCTACGAAGAACTGCCTTCTTTTCCACTGTGAAAGATATAAACACATGTTTTTGAGGTTTGCTATTATTTAGTGCTGCACACTGACACGTAAAGACTGTGAATGAGAGGCCGTTTCTACAGGCGATTGCTGAAGGATTTACCTTTTTCAAATAAATCATCTTTATATTGATCACACCAGTAAAATGCCTTTTTCTATTTACTCAGCAACAACCAAGGAAGACCATATCAGCAGCACAACCAGCTTAGTCAGTGTGATCTGATGTTCCTTCACTTAAGCAGTTTACAAAGTGTTCCCTGCTAGAAGGCGATGAAATGAAAGGACTCAGGGGTTTTTTCAAAAGAACATTTGTCCTATTTCACTATCATGTATATTATTATCTATTTATGCATATATAACATTACTAAATTTAAAGAGAGAAAAATATATATAACATCAAGATACTGACTTTCATGTCAGGCTCTGAAAATAAGTGGGACAGGCCACTGAAAATCTGATGACTACTTTTAAGTTAAAAAAAAGTGTCTTTTCAGTCTGATGTACTTTGAAATGAGTAAACCTTGGGATATGAGAGGCTGGTGAGGGAGATTGATTTTATATAACACAAGCTTATAATTCCTTTGGAGGTGTCCCAGGTTATTAGCAAATAGTTACCTCATTCCTATAACAGCTCTGCCGAAAATGAAAGCTAAATCTTCACAAATTACGCAAACAAAACAACTTTAGTGTGGTTCACAATGCAACATGTCAATTTCATTCCACCGGGTAGGCTATTGGTGTCACTGAGATATGTTCCATTGTCACCATTTTGTTTGTTTTAATAAGCAGGTTAGTCAGAGGAACGTACAAATGGCTGCTTTGATTTGATCTAATCTCTTGAGCTCACTCTTGATAGAGCCGTCAAAATAATATGAGAGGTCCTGAGCAGTAAAGAGGGTAGTTTGCAATGAATTAAAAGCGTTGACCTGTAGGTGCCATGCTATCAAAAGCTGTAAAAATCCTGTAATCTTAAAATCCACGGGATCTCTTCTTAGCTTTACATTTCCATGTCAAATTTTACAGTTGTTGAAATGTTTACTGAAAGTGTTCTCACTTTCACTGATGTGGCCCGCTGGGTTGTTCTGCTCTTTTTGGAGGCAAAACGCTACACTAGCACTGGAATGGTCTGTTTTTCTATCACACTGCTCTGGGGCTCCCATATCAAACAGAGCTGGGCAGTGGAGACGACTTCTAACATGTCAGGATATTTCTCATCTCCACTCTAAATCAACACTGGCAGGCCTTCTATCACAGGTGGATGTCTTTGAGCTCCCTTGAGAAAAATGGGCTCAAAGGCTGGTGGAATATCAGCGCATTAGCTCTTAGACTAAAACTAAACTGTCTCCAAATGCCAATTTGAAAAGCCCACAAGAAAAGAAGGTATTTCAAAGGTGAAAAGGGTAGGTTTAGGTTTTCAGTTTTCCGCTTCTTTATCAAATAACAAATAGATATGAATCACTTCTGATTAACTGACTCATTCTGAAGGACACTCGTTTATCTACATTGTATATAATGTGCTGATACCAATTTAGAAAACAAATTCTTTCTAAATAGCAGCTGCCGATCATAATTAATGAAACCAGGTAATCACAAGACATTAAATATTTTCATCTATATTAAATAAAGACACTTTTTTTCACAAATGTATCAGAAAAGTCACAACTTCCAATTGTATAAATGTACTTTATATAAAATAAATATACGGTTTAATACAACAATATTAGGCATTACCAAATATGAGAGACTTCGTGGAAAGAAACTAAGAAGCCTTTGAAATCACTGACTAAGAAGAGCTGAATTTGAGAACTTGTAAGAACTTTAACATGAAACTGTCTTTCAGCCCCACCACAAAAACAGTCAAATAAACAAATTGTTGGATTTATAAATCAGCCAAGGAAAATTCAAACCATTATGAACGGAAAACATGATAAACTGTGTCAGAAAACATCCATAATTTATGTTCACATATATTTCTATACAGCTGAACTAAATACTTGAATTGCTGATTTGTGTAAAAACCAGATTAAATCTAAAATAAACTGAGGATGTCAACACAATGAGGATCATTCTTTGTTGCTCAATTTCTTCGGGAAGTTACTTATTGTGGGATCAGAAAATTGAATGAACCTCAATAGATGAAGACCAGGTCAGAGGGGCAGGTGTTTAAGAGGAAAAAAGCCAGGAAAAGGCAGGACTTTTTCCAGATTAAGTCATTGTACTTTAGACAACTACTACTGTAATTATTGAACCACTGTAAGAAACCAAACTGGGAACTTGGGAAGCAAACAACAACTTTACTGAGCCATTCAAAAAAGTTTCAAGCGCTGTAACAATTATGACATGTGTGTAATCTGATTTGTCTGACAGAGAGGTTGGAACCGCATCTGCTCACACGCTTGCCAGGGTTGATTTCCCATTTGTTCTTGTTGGTTAAAATGATAACGACAAGCTGTGTTACGAACCAAATTGCTGACCATGAATCATTGCCACAAACCCCAGTAAGCCAGGGAAGTGCTTCGTCGGGTAGATTATAAGACACTGCTGGGTGTTTGCTAGCTGGCTAACCCTAGCTAGGCTACAATAATAGCCCTCTGTTTAGTCTGTGTGCGTCCCACCTTCTCCCATGTTTTTTAATTCATTCACCATTGGAGCGAACTGTATTTAAATACCAAATACCGGCGGCTTTTCCTGTCAAAGCCACAGGAAGGCAGCTGACGTCCACTCAGTCCAAACGCACATCTGCTAGCTAGCGTTGCCCCCTTTAGCTTTAGCCTCGCTTGTTAGCGGCAGACACATGGGTGATGATGACAGCGATTAAGGCGAACCGCGAACACATCTCAGAGTAACACACTCACCCAGAACCACCTGGACACTCTGAAGATCACCTTCGAGTCATAGTGAGAAGAGAGCAGCTGTTATCTGAGGGAAAACGTCGCTGGAGAAGGAAGGGAGCAGAGTTAAACAGAAAAATGTTGTCAGAGCAGACACCCGGAGTGGAAGGTAACGGTGTGTTGACAGCTCACTGAGACAGACTGAGTACTACGGCAGCGGTGAACTGGCCTGAACTGGCTCAGTGACGGCAGGAAGTGACGTAGCGTGACGTCACGCACGGCATGAGGAACAAGACCATCACCCGCAAGTAAATATAATTAGGTCTAATACATAGATGATAAGCGCCTAAAGTACACAATGAGGAGGGCATAATGAAGTAACCATGCTGTCCTGGAAAAATGTGTCTGGAAAAGACGTTATTGGTTAATCATTAACTTTTTTCAGAGTTAATTAGGAGCATTTTCTTAAGGGCAGACAATATCAAGAAATATACTAAAGTGTGATAACAAATATGCATGTATATAAACTTTTATTAATTGTCCTGTTAACGTCCTCTGATTTTCAGGTTGAGTAACATGTGCACGTTATATAATTTCCACATTGTTTTCTCAGACATCATATAGCTCTTCCAGAGCTATTTACTGTATTATATTATACCGAATGGTGTTAATGTGGTAAGATTTTTATTTATTTATCTTTAAGTCAAATCCACATGCATATTTCCTATGTAATAAAGCAACTCGATCTTACATAATCCCATATTCTGAGTTATTTAGTAACAGCTATGTATTGATTCATGAGAAACTTAGTTTATGATTTATTCCCAGTTTACCATATCTACTAACTATTGTGTTTGTCCGAAACATCCATTGCCCTCCTCTCTTTCTGGTCAACTTGCAAGGTGTAGAAAATGTCCTGCAGGCTCAAATGATCCTGCATCCTCCACACCGCCCGTAATGGAGTGAGCTCTGACGCACGGCCAACAAAAACACAAAGGCCTGCTTGCCATCGCTGCTTCAGATGTGCTAATCCAGGCCCCTTCTCCACCTTTGCAAACAGAATTCCACGTTTTTGTGTGACACAGTTTGTTTTTCTTTGGCCCAGTCTCAGAAGGGACAGAGAGGAGGCCCAGAGATCGAGCAGTGCTAGCTCAGCATTTGAATCAGACTTACAGACTGCAGCAGCTTTGGTACATTCAATAGTTTAGATACTGAAATAGTTTAGAAACAAATGTGTCGATTTTGAAACAAAAGGTTGTTAAGATAGCAGTTTTGGCCTAATAGTTGAACTTGCTACTTATATGGGCAGATACCTAAAATCACAATCAGATGATGAAAGCAGTTTATTTTCGACTTTATTTTTGCCTGATGTCCTTGTTTTAAAGCTGGCCAAAACAAATTTATTTAATTGTTCGGAAAGATTTGAAGAATGACGTGAGGTCAGATTATACAAAAATTGCTAATGAGCATAGCATTATAGATTTTTTTTTTCTGGTAGGCTGGGTCCTGTTTACAGTCAGAACATCGCGTTAGCGTATATCAATTTGTGCTGCTGACATCAGCAAACTCTGTGCACCATCTCATTAGTCGTCTTTTTTCTCAGACAGATATGTCATTTCAGGAAATGTAAGAGGGAGGAGTTTAGTGCGGTTCACATCTTTTCTCTGTTCTGTGTATTGTTTCAGTTATCAGGCTTTAGGAAACATGTTCAGTCAAAAAATGCTTTCCTTTGTTGTTCCCGTATCATCTCGTAAAGCCCCTGAGCCTGCTGATGGACAGAGGTCCCCTGACTGATGGAGAGAGCGGGCAGGCCCTGGCCGTCTAGTCTGGTGCTTATCTCCTCTGCCGGCCCTTTTTCCAGTCCAGCCCTGATAACCCTGGATGACTAGCAAAATACAGGATATGACCCAATAACCTTAATTGGCCTCAGGGGTGGTAATAGCCTTTTATTAGAGAAGTCCCTTTTCTGTAAACCTTCATGGCAGAACAAAGTTTTCATAGGACTTGATTTTACAATAATAGATAAATCAGCACAATTCACCTAAAGACTAAACCTATAAGCACCATTTAACCCATTAGATGAGACAACAGAGCAGTAAAACCAGGTAATAAAGTGACAAATAACAGGTCAATATTTGCACTTTTATTCATTTGAAAGTTGTGGCTCCAGGCGGGTACACAGCAGTGCTCAGTTTGATGTAGAGCTCCTCTCATTCATACTAGACAGAGTTTTCTGTGGGAGTTCAGACGTGGAGCGGGTGCTGTTGATGTTGAAAGGTTTGGGGTTTGTCGGCCAGTCTTGAAGGGGAAATTCATCCCCCTCCTGTGGTTTTGCTGCCGGTTTACTCCACTGTGAAACGGCTGCACTGAAGTCCCACTGGAAAATAGAGATGACAGCAAAAGGGTTAGGTTATGTAATATAGCAGTCTGCTACGTGGACATGCAGCATAATAAGTAGCTTCAATCCTGGTTAGAATTTTTGGCATCCTGCAAATGCAGAGTTCACAATATTTTTAGAAATAAAAGCAAAAGAGTCGGTTTTGTGTCATCACACATAGAGCTATATGGTTTCACAACATTTGGACAGAAACGGCAGCCTATAAATAAATGTTTTTATCGGCTATAGAAATGCCATATTGCAGACTTGGACTTTCTGCCCCACTGCTGTGTGTTGAAACTTAGTCCCCAGAGGTGCAGGCACCGATCTCTCCTTTTTGTGCCAGTCTTTCATTGGTTGTTTCCAACTTGGCATCCAAACAGAGATCTACTTGGTTCAGAAATGATACAGGCTGAACCAACCACTCCAGATGTTTCTAAGTGGGCCTGCAGCTCTTTCCATGCACGCCACCACTGCCTTTTCCCCCCCCATACAAACGATGCACCAACCCACACAAATCTCTTAAGTGCTATTTCTATAAAGCCTTTGGCCAATAATCTTGAACTTGAAAGAGAAATTTTCCACACAGATATTTTCCAACATTTGCATTTGTGCATTTGCAAAGACAACTCTATTTATCTTTCATAAAAATGAACTATTCTTGGGTGCCAGTGACCGAAAATAGTTCCAGTAATATTTCCTGGTGGACATCGCGTTAAAAATGATCTGGTTACATGAAAACCAGTATATTTACTATGTCAGGAGATGGAATGAATTATATCCTTAAAATCCAGACATTACATAATTTTATTTTAGTTATAAGATTTTGCATTATTTGATGATCTGCTGGTCAATAGTCAACTTTCATACGCTTCCATATTATTTCATTTCCTGGTGTTTGATAGAGTGTAGAAAGTTAGACAGAAATACACAGCCTCAACTTAAATACAAAAGAATTACCCAAAAAAAACACTATTCAAGAAAGAACTTGTATCCATTATGCAACCTTAGTTTCTGAATTGAATAGGATAAAAAGTCTGCTTGACCATGTCCCATCTTGTTAAAGGTAGCTGTAGCTTTACAAACTATGTATGTCACTGTTTTGTTGGCAAACATGAGCACACTAAGTGAATATGAACAACTCAGGAGGTTTAGTTCTGTTCACCCTTGTGTAAAAGAAATTCCTGGTCAACAGGCATCATACGGCAGACCATAAACATCGCCCAAAATAGCAAGGGGGTAGCACTGTCCCCCTATAGACAGGGCAAACAGTTTGCACCACTTCCTAGGCAGACAGACCCAGCCCAGCACTGGTCTTTAATCAAAGATTTTTTTTTAGAGCAGAACAATTGGACCTCATGTCAAATCTTAAACAGTTCCACCCAACCCTGTACCCCCTCAGCTTCACCCCAGCAGAAATGTCTAAGAAACACACAGGACAATGGAGACTGCGAGCTGCTGGCCAAACTGACCGCTCCGCTCCGAGGGCAGCACACACAGACGCATGCTTCATGTAGAAATGATGTGGCCACTTTCTCCTCATTCTCAGTTTCCATTCAAGCCTGTTGGTTAACCTCTAGGCTTCTGTGTAACAGATGGACTGCCACCAAATTAAAAAGTGACATTCTCACATTTAATTTGGTGGAGATTAAACATTAAACACAGAGTAAACTTGTGTGGAAACCTTCCGTTATATCACCAAGTAAACAGTCTCTGTTCATTCTGACAAGCAAATTGAGAGTGCACTTGAGAGAGAGGGCCAAGTCCTGGAATTTACCTCCAGTGGTCTCTGATTAGAAAGAACTGACAAAAGATGTTTGTTCACCATTGATCACAGGACAGAGCCAATATGAGTTTCCACATTTTGCTCGAGCTGATTAAAAAACAATCAATATCTGGGCTCTAAAGCTGTATTGTGAGAGAAAACAGATCTCAATCAACCAATGAAAGCTGCCTCAATTCAAAACTAAACTTTCACAGCTCGAAGCTCCAATCTTCACCAAATACAACTCACTCATACTTAAAAAAAGTCACAGCACTTTTAGAATCCCTTTTACTTTTCAAACAACAAGTGAGCCCAGGGCATTCAAGTCATTTGCTTTTTCCTGTTTAGTGAACAGTATCAACCAGGAATTGTTCGGGCTTGCACCATTTGCCTTTGTTTCTGATTAAATGACATCCTCCATAGACTGGATATCCACTGCAGAACCGTGAGGGAGTTTCTCTTCTGTTTGTGAATGTCAAGGCCAGAAAAGCTGGCACTTTCACTCCCCTTTGCAATCGCCAACTAGGTATTTAAAAATAAGAAAATTGTGAATCGTCTAGAACTGGATTTGTTTGCTGTTGCCAGTGTTTTTTTGTTTTTTTTTTAAAGAAGAAAAAAAGCAGAACTCCTTTTTTAAAGTTAAATTACAGTCTCATGTCTGCCATACTCTTTTACCCACAGTCATACGTCACACAATTCAACCAGGAACATGCTGACTGATTTCTTATTCCAAGAGTTTCTTATATCTGTCTTCTGACTTACTTCCCCCCAAGTCACATGTGAAAAGCAGCGAGCACGAGTTCCAGTCACTTAAAAGCAACCGTTTTCCTTATAAGCTCTAGACATGGCTGCTTATTTAAAATTCAGACAAATAAATTAGTAACTTATAACTTCACAACTTCCAACCAAAATGCAAGATACAAAAAAAACAAATGAGAAAAGTTACAATGATAATAGTACAAGGTCTACATTTTTAGGGGGAAACAATAGCAACAATAATCTAGAGTTTGTAAAACCGCTATCAATTAGCATCGGTCTTTCAGACTTTCACCTTATGATGAACTTCAGGGTTAATAAAAGCCCATAAGCGGTGCAGACTTGAGCTTTCGCAACATGATGCGAGCAGCCTCGCTAAAACAGAACTGACATGCAAACTTCAGTGGCTTTCCTACTTTCCCTCCACATACTGTCTCCACCTTGTGGCACTTTGTACAAAGCGCACATTTTGGCTTTACTCCCTGACACACTTGTGACTGTGATCGCTGTGGCCAGTGCGCCCAGAGACAAAATTATTCTTCCAAAAACAGAACCGAGCATCGTTCAGAGGAATGAGATGCTGGTTTTCTCAACTTCATTTCATCTTAATTGGTCCTCTGCAGCAAAGTCAGACCCACCTCCAGGTCAGAACTGACCGGCGAAGAGTCACAGGATGTATCCGAGGAGCAGAGGCTGTCCACTCTGATCACTCGCACTATCTTTTGGAGAGTGCGGTCATCCTCGCCCTCCTTAGACAATGTCACCTCTTTAAGGGACATTTTCTGGAAGGGACAAAATGTACAGTCAGAACATTAGAGGTGAGGGTTTCACTGTAAGCATTTGACAAGAGAAAAGCCATGATGAGCTTACTTTTGTTGCAGGTAGAAAACTCACATCCATGTAGTGACCCATCTCATTCATCTTCTGGGAATTTTTGGTCTTTGAGGGAAAGGTCGAGTACTGAAATATTCAAGCCAAGATATTAGCAGAAAAACACTGAATGCATCCTGAAATACTTCTGCTGGTTGGAACAAGCCATGTGATGTGAAAGAATAAGAAAATCTCTTGTAATTATTACAGATATCCCAAAGCCCTTCGGTAATCTTTTACAGCTGTTGAAAACTTTATTTTTTGTTTTTTTATAATGGCATAAAATATCATTTGCATCTTTTCATGAATGATCCCAAGTGCTTTCTTGCTATCACATACATTTTTTACTCTCTGAACAAAGAGTTGATAGTAGGAATTGCATCACAACTCAGGCTGATGCACTCCCAGTGACTGATTTTGTTCTATGCTAATGTTTTATTAATTCCTTCCCATTATTTTAAGTCACTTAGTTAATTTACAGCCCTGGAAATTCTTCTGTGAAAAGAAAAATTCCCTTCACTGTAGGATACATACAAAGAAATAAGTTAGGTATGATGTCTATCCATTTTTTTAACCGCTTATTTCCTAAAGGGATTGCGGGAGCTGTGATGTTAGTGTTTTTGAAAAAGATGTGGGAGCAGCAAAAATCACAAACTGAACTCACTTTCGTTTGTGCTGATGAGGGTATCTGCTGCTCTTTCTGTCGCTCTCCGACAGCGAGATCCTCAGTTTGGACACCTGAACCTGTCAAAAGGCTCTCGGTGTCCGGAGAAAGACTCGTGGGCCGCTGCCTGTTTTTTTTCTTGCACCAGTGAATGACCAAAATCTGACGGCTCTGGGTTAAAAGTCAACAAACAAGACCTCGGTACTGTTCAAGACTTTACAGCCGCACATCAAAATCCAGCTATAGTTCACAACAGTCCTCCGTTTGGTAGTTTGGCGTGTCCTTCCAATGTGAGCAAACCTTAAAATTTTACCTTTTTTTTTAACCCCCTTCCCATCTGTTTTTTTTAATACAGAATATCTCATTACCTGCTCAGTTTGCTGTGGATTATTTTGATTTTAATACATTTAAGAGGTGTGTCAGCTATCATTAATAGCACCAAAATACAGAAAACAGGCTACCCCGTGAACAGAGAGTAAAATGTGATCCAAAACCAGTCATAAGGATACGAGCAGGTCTAAGTTGACACAGCCTATTGCTGACAGAAGCCACGGCATAACCCTCACGAGAAAAACAAAGCGGGTGTCGTAGAGGAAGATGGCCACGGCGTAGAGGGTACCGGAGAGTGAGCACAGCAGTCCGGAGAATATGCAGACTTTGGTCAGCCTCTGTCCTCTCAGCTAAAAAAGAAAGCAAATGTAACCGACTGATGAAGTGTTCTGACCCCGGAAACGTGGTTCCGGTGCCTCACAGTCCAGCGTCCAGAGTCTCTCACTTACAGCTTTGCAGAGTGCTGGGAACCTGGAGGTACAGGAAATGAAGAGGGACAGCAGCCCAAGAGTGTAACCAAGAATTTCTTTGTTGTCCTTTGGAAAAAAATGCAATTCAGTTATCATGCAAGCTGTAATGTGCCTGGGTCAATCTGGTGCCAATTAAACCTCACAGTTCGACATAAACATCAATCAAACTGATTCATTTAGTCAAAGGGGACATAGCGTGTGTTTACCCAACAAATATGTGATCTCACATATCTAGATGCACTGTTTGTGTGTGTAACAGCACCATTAAAGGACTCCAGCTGGAAAACTGCAGCAGACCCCTTCGTCTCACGGGCTGGACTGCAGGAGGGTCATCAACTCTGGACTTCAGAAAACCTCCCGCGACCACCATTAGAACGCCCACAGCCAGGAGATGCTGCCTCCTGCGCTTCCTCATCGTCCTCCGCCTCCTTTCTGAGGGAGAGCACCAGGGAGCAGGACACAGCTCAGAGTCTCAGCGCACACCCCCCTCTCTCTTCATTTGCATGATTATCTGCAGGAATGCGCACTTTACGTTTTGCCTAAAAGCCTGTCAGATAACCGGTATTTAACACAGTCGGCTGAGCTCACGTGGCGCTGGGGTCACTAAACTGGCCATGAATGGTCACAACTCGCCTGCTGTCCTGTTCCAGCACAGGAACACCGGGAGGCAGCACACCAGGCAGTTCACAGTATCCAACCCAGCCGCAAAAGCACTCATGAAAATCTAACAGAGAGAGAAATTAAACACACCAACCCTTTTACTGTCAACTGATAAAGGGGAAAAAACTATTTTAGTCTACCTGCATGTGCAGCTGCCTGGACAGAACGGCCCCCACCGTGCCGCACAGGTTCCCCAGCAGGCAGTAGAAGGTCAGGATGCCTTCTCGGGCGTATTCCCCCGGGAACGCGCACCTCTGACGCGCCAGCCTTTAACAGACGTTTGAGCCAGACCTTCACACGCAACCTACCGGGAAGTCAAAACCGACTTTACTCACAGAACGGAGGGCGGCAGTAGAAGCAGCGATGACAACAAGGCGAGCCCAGCCGGGACGCAAAGTTTGTCCGCCCGATGGGAGAAGCAGGTGGCGATCCAGGTGACCCCTGCAGTGGCCAGCAGCGTGTCGGGGCTTCCCTGGATGTGGCCGTCCGCGTTTGTTTCAACGGCTTCCATGTTTTTTTAGGTTGCACATATGTTTGAATTGCACGAAACAAAGGAGCAGCTGACGTGCGCGTAAAGAGGAGCACGCTTGAGTGACCTGAGTTCAGAAAAGGGCGGGGCTTATTTACCTGAGAAGTACCTGCCAGAGGATTTGAGTAACGTTGGCAATTGGACAGGCTGAGAGCTTAACTAACGTTGGGTTAGTAAAGAAACTGATGTTTCTTTGTTGTTTTTTGTCTTAATCTGTTTTCACCAGATTATTTACTTTTACTATTGCAAACCATTGTTGCTAGTTCATTTATATGAAAACATACTCTATTCTTATAAAATATTGTGATTCAGTATTTTTTTCCCATTACATTATGTATATAATTATTACAAGCTGTGCTTTTCCAAGTTATTTTGATTTGTCAATCGTTTTTTGAGGACTTTAAATGGCACTTGGTTGGTCTGACGGGTATTTAATTTTGAACATTTGCTGAGTTTGACTATCAATAATAGCTGTTTTTTTTTTATTACATCAGGATCTGAAACACAGCTCAAGTGTATGGAATTTGGCAAACATTCCCTTGTCTTTTATTTACATTTTACACAGCATCCAAACTTTTTAGGAAATGAGGTGTAAGGAAAGCCACTGATTTTATTTGGTTAAATTCTAAACTTAGTTTAAAATATTTCAAACATTTGTATAACTTCAAATAATTTTACATGTTCCATGTTGACTCGAGAATGAGCTGTACCATCACCGAAGAAAACAAAAGGTAAAGCTTATAAAGTAAAAAACAAAACAAGCTAAAGCTTTCAAAGAATGATACAAACAAATGTATTTCTAGAATTTATGCAATGTTTGTCAGGAGAGAGCCATGTCTCTCTTTAATTCATAAAGGATCTTGACAGTTATTCTATATCTCACATATTAAATCCGATAAACTATTAAGACAAAAAAGAGAATTCCTAAAGCAATCAATACAAATTGATTCCATTTAAATCCCAATAGAATAAATGTTTATTTTACTCTCAGACACTTAGAAAGCATGCTATTAGCATTTAATACGGCTTCTTACATACTAATTTTTTTTAAATGTGAAAAGTTACCAAAGGAATAAAAATTTGGAAAGGAGAGAGAAAAAGAAGAGAGATTTGATGGCAATAATCTTTCCTGCATATGGATAAAAGCAGCAGGTCACAGTCACTTAAGTGTTCATTGAAAATTGTGAACCAAATTTATTTCAAATCACTGCAGAATTCCCACATTGTGGATGTTGAGTGGGTCAGCTGTCGTTCTGGTGATCCATTTGATGGAATGCTTTACATCAGTAAGATTTGCAATAAATGATCGACAATGCAAGTGGCAGGTAAAGACCAGGACCTCGCTACGCTCGCAGGATTAGGGGCCATTATTCATCTCCAGCTAAACTCCCCACCAATTCCTTTGGAATCACATGAGCGCTGCGCATTATTTCATTGCATCTAATATAATCTGATTTAGAAATCCTAGATTTCCCCATTGCGTTCATGCATCCAGATGTTTGGTAATCCGGCGTAATTTCTCTTTCTTGTTCTTGTTGCTGTGCTTTTTCCAGGGCTTGCCTGGCAGCGTGTCTGCCTGGGAAGCGACGGGTCCATTGCCCGGTTTGTAGCCCATGACTGACTGAACTCCTTTGGTGAGCGCCCGTACGTTCTCCTAAAAAGAAAAGTCCACTCACATGAAGGCCATATATCTAACATACATGTACAGATATATTCAAAAGGTCTGTGGGGACATCTAACCTGATGGAAGAAGTTCTTGTCCACAACATTTTCAATTCGTCTGATTTTCTGTTGTTTGTTTGCTCCTGTGCACTGACTGTTGTCTGGCTCCGTTTTCAGGAACTGGCTGTGCTGTGGCTGGAAGTCTTCAGCGTTGATGTGTGGGGGAGGGTGGCAGTAGAGAAGCTTCCCCTGTGGGGGGTAAACATTTGAGCAGTGGGCAAGGCATAGGGTGTTAAGTAAACTTTACAGCCCCTGAGGTTACATCATTTTATCTCCACAGCTGCAGCCCGTTGGTTTACACAGAAACACAATAAAGCAAGAGGAGGACACATTGGGCCATTCAGCTACGAGAAGAAATATGCATGATTAAAAACTGGAGCAAAAGTGGAGAACCATCAATGTTGTTTGGAAAAAATCCTGACGTCTGGTGAAATGTAATTGAAGACAAACCATCGTAAAACTCAGGGATGTGTTTAATAGTTAAAGTATGGGCATTTATGTATGCTACAGTTGATAAAAGAAACATTTGAGGCTGAATTGCCGACCATTGAAAGAGATATTAACACTTGAGCGTTCTTTGATAATAAAGAATATCAATTTGGGAGATTTCCTTTACAAATAAAATGTCTTATCATTGTGGCACTATTTTCTACAATCAACACAATTGACTAAACTCATAAATGATCCGACAAAACTTACATTGACGTAGTCCTTCAGAATGTACCGGGCTGATCTGGACTGATCGGGCTGGCCGTGTGATGTCATAAAACCTCTCATGTCTGAAATGGATTGAAAGACACAATAATTCACTTTGTGATTGAATCTTTCACGGCTCTGTACTTAATATTTATTTTTAATACAATTAGTTAAATAAGAACAAAATTTAAATGGTAGAAAAACACTTAATGTATTGCCTGTGTCCACTGACAAACTGCAAATGTTTGGGAACCCTTACATCCATATGCCATTAGAAACTCCTCAGATGTGGGGGGCCTTTCAGGGTCCTCATCTTCTCGTGGTCTGATGATGTTGATGCCGTATGTGCCTTCTAATACATTTCGAGGGATTGTCTGGCAAATGTAACTTACTCATTAAGGATCAAATCTCCTCCATGGAACTGCCGTCAATTTAAAAAGAAGGAACAGTAGCACATCCAAGTCCTTTGTTTGCAAAAAGGATATATGGGAAACTGCCGGCACGTGGTCCCTCATCTGGTCGATGGGAAGAATTCCTGAGCAAATCATCTCAGCTTTGGTGGAAACAAAGGAGGGCATGACCAGGCCCGGACAGTCGCAGAGACACAGGCCTGGCTCCACATACAGCGTCTGCGAAAAAGGTAAAAAGGACAAAACACTTTAGGCTTTTTTCCGAATGAAACGATGAACTGAATTCATATGGCGGGTTGAGATGTACCTGAAAGTGCTTTGTGTGTCCAGGCGTGGCTGAAACGGACACCTTCTTGTTCCTCATAATAGTGTTGATAGTGGAGCTCTTCCCCACGTTGGGATAGCCGACCTGTTCAAGCCAAACAGAAAGTAGCCGTTCACATTTCTGCGTCTGTCAGGACCAGCTGATTCATGCGTTTCCACTCAGTATGAATGAACACATCGATCTGAAAGCTCACTGCGGTGATTGTGTATCACTACAAGCAAAGACGTTCTACCCACCAGTCCCACGGTCAGGTGTTCCTCTTTACACCTGGCTCCATCGTGGACGGCCTTGAACACCTCTAGCAGCTCGTCTTTGTGCAGCAGTCGGCTGGAGTTGTGGAAGGATCTGCTGGAGGTGCCGGCACTTCCTCCTTCTGCTTCCTCCTCGTCTTCTGAACAAGTGTGCCAGTCCTCCTCATCAACTGTCCGATAACTCTCCTCGTCCTCTTCCTCCTCCTCCTCCTCCTCCTCCTCCAAATCACTCTCTGCTTCTTCCTTGTCCCCTCCATCGACCCCTTTTTGCCTTAAGTCTTCAAGACGTGGCGATCCGTCTTCTGGATCAGAGGAAGACGGATCGCATTCTGGGTCATCCACTTCCATGCCCTGTGAGAAGAAATGTTTCACACCCTTTGTAATTCCATTCATCTTTCTCAGAGGGTGTCACAATTTCTATCTCCGAACCGAGCACACAGCTCAATAAGCTTCCACCTCCTTACCTTCTCCTCTGCATCCAGCCTTTCGCTTTCTGCCAGGGCCGACCAGAAAACGGCCCTCAGCCCTTCTTTCTCAAAGTATTTGGCCCAGATTTTTCTCTGCTCCCTGGTCAGCAGGTCTGCCTTATTCACCAGAATCATGTTCACCTTGTTTGGAGAGACTTCTTTCACATAGGCCTCCTGTTCGCAAGTAATACAAGAGAAGGACCACAGTTGTTGGTACATAAACCGAGGCCTCAGCTTAATGAGTATTTATCGATTCAAAATTATACTTTACATACAGATGTATTTAGAATGTTAGACGATGACTTGATGTTTTGTTTTTAAAAAAATGATAATAGAAACATGACAAAATAACTGTGCTAATCTATCAGTGTGTAACAAGAAAAAAGGACGGTTAGATGCATCATTCATTCAGCCAGCAGTAAATAATGGACTTACCAGGTCAACACATCGGAACAACAAGGGATTTCTGCCATCGACAATCTGAACCACAACATCGCTGAAGGAAAAAAAAAACAGAAAAGACATTGAGCATCTCAGAGAAAAACCAATTTCCCTCGTTAACAACAGAGCCGACAGCACAGCATTTTTTTACCTCCTTTCGATCACCCTCCACAGTTGTCTCCAGAATTCAAGGTTCCTCTCGAATGGAGTAAGAAATAACTTTTGTTCTTCTTCCAATCTATGGAAATGAAACCTTTAGGTTACCGATGGATAATCCAACACAAATAGATCATGAACCACATATCAGAAAATGTAAGTAGGGTTTTTTTGTACACACAACTTCATTGACATGAAATGACAATACATTATTGCTTCCTAATTAAAAAGCTGAAACACACACATACATAATAAACTTCAAATAAATAATAAATAAGTACGCATATAAAACACATACTGTGCAAGCTCTCGTCTCCAATGCAAGAAGCTGTCCTTTTCTGCTTGCTGAAGAGCATCTGGACTGGTGCTCTCATCCCACTGGGGACTTGGATCACAAAGAAGGACGTCACTTTATAGATGCAAAGCCCACTTAAATGTTGTCATACTCACTGGATCTGATAAACCTACCGTCGGGGTATTCTCAGGAAATGCTTGTTGTCTTCATGAAGCTTCTTCAACTTGGTTCTCTCCTCAGCCGTTAATAAGCCTGCTCTGGCTTCCGCTGGCACAAACTTGATGTTGAGTTTCTCTAAGAACACCCAAAAAAAAACCACCCAAAAAATCAAGACAGTCACAGACTCAAGCAGAGAAAGGAAAGCTTTGCTAGAAAAAAAACTTTGATTATATATATACACTTTTATTTACATTTCATAAAAACTAATTAAGGCTCAGGTGAATGTTTTTATTCTTACCTGCGACAAACTCTGTTCCTGCCAGTTCAGCAGTTGCCAGAAAGTCGTCCATAGAACTCTGCTCTGTCACTGACTGCAGGTTCAGCCGCCCCCAATCGTAGCCGTCATTCAGCTCACTGGTGTGGAGCTGTTGAGGTGACACACACGGCAAGGTTTGGTCTACCACTAACAAATATAACTTTTGTTTAATCTGCATGATTTGATCTTTGTGAGGGACAATGAAGGCTGTTTCTATTCTGCTTGCCACTGAAGGCTTTGGAGGGAAAAAAAACTCTCACAAAGAAATATGGTGTTTCACTGACATCAAGAAGCTGTTCTGAGTGTTGATGCCACTGAATATTTTAAGTTCAACATAAGTAATATTTGTGAGCTCAGCACCTGATCTAAACAATATTAAATGCTTGCATGATAAATATTGCTTCTGGATAATCTGCACCGCACTAATCGGAATTTCTGTCGATTCTTACAGCTCCTATGTGTAAAGATTAGTCATTTATTGATTCTAGATCGTTCACCAGGGAGCTGTATTTTCTTTTTTGAAAGTTTGATTTTGAGCAGCTTAAATTATTTAGGGCCATGTCGTACCCACGAGTCGTTCCTCTTGTTTCCTCGGCTAGCCTGGAGTCTCTCCTTTATCAGAGCTCTGCCCAGTCCTCCTCCTCCCCCGCTGGCTTTCTTCTTCCCCATAACAACCTTACAGCAACACACGACAGATGTTAGCCCGAAAAGTCTAAAAACTAATATCTGTGGGTCACCAACAAGAGTATCCCATGTGCAGAACCTTGTTGTCGTAAGATACGGAAGCGGGAACAAACCATTCAAGCCACACTTCCGCGTTGTTTGCATCGCAACTGTATTCAATTAAAATATAACATTTGACTCAGAAACACGACTTAAACTGTTAAAGTACTCTTAAATATGTTTCATATTATTTATTTTGATCGATACAAACTAATATTTATTGTAGGCAAAACAATGACAGTGGTACATTCCACTCAAGTCCAGTTACAATGTGTGCTCTGACGAAACAGAGAACATGAAACACAAACGGTCCTATTGCATGACACGCTTATGGAAATAGGACCTTCAGTCGTTAAAGGCTTAAAGAAGAACGCACCGTGATCATTAACCCAGTTTTTTTTAAAACCCATTTTGCTTTAAAATAGACATTTTTCTAGACATGTTTAGTGTTTTATAATCACAAATACATACACAAGAGTAGCTAAATCCCTTCAAGTTAGAGCCAGAAGATGGCAGCAAAAATCATCATCAGACAACAGTCAAGTCCACTCTCATTTGAACTGATGTAACTAAAACATTTAGATCTGTGTAAGGTCTAACATACTTGGTGTATGCACATCTGATTTAAGCTACTCAATGATTTTATTAATTCAGATTGACAGTTGTTATGTTTTTTTCCACTTCATTGTTTAGATTTGTTATATTTAAATAATCACAATATTTATCAAATAAAAATGCAAAACATTTTTTGAAAGAAACTGTAACATTGCACTTTTATTAAGGATGGGGATGTGATTGTAAAAACTATCCATTCAAAATGATTACATAGATTGAAGAATTGATGATTAAAAACTGACGTCTACATGTCACACATTATCTAAAAAAATGAATGCAGGGTTTAGTGATATTCACGATTTCTGAGTACAGTTTAGCAACATAGAAACATACCGTACGTTTTGATTATTAATTATTGTATTTTAAGTGGCCCGTGTATTCATAATAGTGTTAGCAGATATGTCAAACTCATCACACTGACTAAGAAGAAGGTAAAGAGGTATAGGTGAAAAAAGTCAAAGTTGGTTCAGCCCCCCCTACATTCAGACTGAAATGGTTTCTCCCAGTGTATAAATTGCAAAGCCCGTACTTGGTTACTGGATTGGGCGCCTTGTTGCGATGTATGATCCGAGAACAAGGAGTGGACAAAGCATTTCAGAAGATGGAGAGATGAAGTACGGTTTCTTAGAGTTTAGTTGCCATATAGTAGTGAATAAATGACCTGACAGGCGCTAGACGCATTTAGGATCTAGTAATAAAAAGTTTGTTCTTTCTCTCTCAGTGTTGCTGTTAAGCGTAAACAGCAATAAAATGCTGCCTTGGAAGAAGAACAAGTTCGATCTTATCGAGGAAGACAAGCAGTCCAAGCAGAAGGGCTATGCGGTGAGTCTCAACTACTCGGCGCTCACCTCTTTCGCCAAGTCCTGCCCCGAGAGCGCGCTCAACAGGGTGGGCAGCATGTTCAAGTCCAAGAGGAAAAAGGTGAAGATCACCAGCGAGGACCCCACGTACACGGTGCTCTACCTGGGGAATGCCACCACCATCCAGTCCAAGGGGGACGGGTGCACGGACGTCGCGGTGAGCAAGATCTGGGGCAAGAGCGAGATGGGCAAGAACGGCACCAAGATGCGGCTGACCATCAGCTCGCAGGGCATCCGGATGGTGCATGTGGACGATAAGGCCAGGAGGCCGGGGCACTTGTACCTGCTGCACCGGATAACCTACTGCGTCGCGGACCCTCGCCTCCCCAAGATCTTCGCGTGGATTTACCGGCACGAGATGAAGCACAAGGCCGTGATGCTGCGCTGCCACGCGGTGCTGGTGTCCAAGCCCGAGAAGGCGAAAGCCATGGCGCTGCTCCTGTACCAGACCTCGGCCACGGCCCTGGCCGAGTTCAAGAGACTTAAACGGAGAGACGACGCCAGGCACCAGCAGCAGCAGCTGATCGGGGAGCAGACCATCCCCCTGGTCCCGCTCAGGAAGCTGCTGAACGGACAGTGTTACTACAAGCCCCCCGTGGAGCGCAGCCGGAGCGCACCCAAACTGGGCTCCATCACAGAGGACTTACTGGGCGAGGAAGAGGAGGAGAAAGCCATGCACTTTGAGTGTGAGGACATCCTAGACACGGACCGGGATTGTGTTTCGAACGGTAAACACGAATTGACTCAAATTATTAATGACTTGGGAGAAATGTGCATTGGAAACGACGTGCAGACTCTGAAATCTGACCTGAGAGTCACCAGACTTCTCTCCGGGGAGAGCACGGGGAGTGAATCCTCCATAGAAGGCAACCAAGAGCCCCCAGCACTCAGCAACGGGCTCCAGGAGGTAAAGGTGGTGGAAATTGCCTGAATGAACTTGATTCTGTGCGCATCTCATCTTTTATTTGGAGAGTTTTTGTCTCTCCAACGTTTGGAGGGACTCCAGAAAAGATGACTTGAGCTTCTGGGACAACTACCAGACACAGACACACAAATAGGCTGCGGAATGACACTGTATTATGATGAAATAGAAAAAAAAGTGGTGTTGGAGAGGGGGGGCTCAACAGACACAATCCCAGTGCGCCTAAGGACACAGCAGTAATTCCTTCTGTTCACTTTAAGAGGATTTGTTGCAGCATCGAGCTTGTTTACCTACCTTTTTATTTCGTTCTAACTTGAAGTGCATTGTTCTGTTGAATTATGCAGGTGTTGCTCCAAAAACAGCATTCCGTTTTTTAAAAGCACGTTTTCCTCCTTAATTCGTTCAGTGGGTCGAAAACGGCTGTCAGGGGGCTTCTGTGACAGACTGTTTTTTTTGTTTGTTTGTTTTTTTGCACTGTTGTGTTGACTACATATACATGTTTGTCAGTATGTTGTCTGAAACATAAATGTCATATCTTTGCTGTGCAAACGGAAGAAATACCTTTTATGTATTGAGATGTAAAGAAAGATGTTTTAATTCTGAATGTTATTTTCTAAAGAATATATGAAATGTGGTTTGATATGTAAACCTCATAGACTTATCAATAAAAAGAAAATGTCATCAATTCACTGAATGTTTCTGTTGAAATTGTTTCTTCATCTCTTAGTGACACAAGACATGATTTACTTGAAACAAAATCCAAATTAGGGTCAATAATATATATACATGGAGAGAGAGAGAGAGAGATATTCTCACAGATTCAGTTAAATGTGTATTTCATAAAATATTTTCTCCTATATTTGCCCTTCTTATCCAACGAGCTTCCAGGGTACAGAATGTGAGATATTTAGTTAAGGTACTGAGGGCCCATTCATTCTAACCGGCCTCAGGGAGGGCAGGCCACACATGAGGACGTCAACACAAGCTGGAGCTGATGAAACTTCAAACAGATCCCTTAATGATACGGCAGCACGACTCACACACACACACACACCACTGCACAACTGAGAGCAGACCATGTTTCAGAGGCTCAAAACATTACCGTCGTGGTTCTGAATCGGTGTGGACCTCGACCTACGGGTTTGGTCCGTCATTCTGTACCGCATCTCTGGTAGATCGCGCTCAGTGTGTTACAGAGATGAAGAGATACCAGCACATCTCATGTGAGCTGCCGCCCGTGATGGATGTGTCACAGGTCATGCGGCTTTGAATGTGAAAAATCTTGTCCCTTTGCCCTCACAGAGCATCACCGAGCATGCACGCACATTCCAAACAGGTCTCCAAACTCCTCTAAAAGAGGCAGCTATGTCTTAGTTGGGGTTCCTCTTAACATCATGACAGAACAGAAGATAAAAATGCTATAAAACTGTGTATTTCACGTAGCTTCACGAGGAATGGGGAGGTTCTCATTAAAAACAAAAACAAGAACAAGATGAAGAAGCGTGGGGTTAATGCGTTTCAGCCAGTGGTTGGCGAGACCTATAAAAAGCTGCAGCTCATTATGAATTGATGTGCCTTCAGGAACACACACACACACACACACACACACACACACACACACACATACATGCACAGGCTATGAATAGAAACTGGCCTTTTTTGTGGCTTGTCGAGCGTGCTGAGATGCTGAGCCGAATGAGGAACACAGCATAGAAGCCCAGACAGTTAATTTCTCTTCCTCTTGTAGTGTGATATCCCATCTACCCCTGTTACAGCGTCATTAAGATGTCCGCCGTACCACAAACAACATTGTGTTATGAACGTCTGCATTGATAGAAATACTGAGCAACAGGCTGTCGGAAGGCCATTGCTGTCTTTTATGACCAGTCGTTGCTTTTCTAGGTGGACGTCTGGCCTTGACCTACATTCTCACACGGTCTTTCTTGTGTCCCACTGCCACTGCAACAGCTGAGGTCTCACAATCTCTCAGGGGTTAACCGTCTATCAGCCACTCGTGCACACCAGCCCATTCACACAACTAAAAGGGTTTGCAGGGCACAATTTCAAGCCGCTGAGGACGAAAGCAAAGTTCCTGACCGATAAGAGCGGATTCACAAAGAGGCTTTTTCACAATGACTCGTCACGTTCACTTTTCCCTCGAACACACTCACACAGGTTTTTGCTTCACCTACTGTCAAGGTGTAACGCCACTTATTTGAGATGTTCATCATAGGTCCCATGCTGTTTTAAAAAATATATATATATATTTAGATACAGTTTTGTTTTTGGTACATAATCACCAAAAATGAAAAATGTTCTTCTTTTCGCAAGCAGGAAGGTGAAAGGATGTTGGAATGAAATCAATTGCCACGTGTTTTAATCCATTATGGAGAAACTGTAACAATTTACTATCTGGACCACAGCAGATATTCAACATTTTGTATGAGGTCATGCTTTAGTATGTGCTGTTGCTAATGAGCTGTAATATCAACACTTGTCATCGAAGCAGAGCTTTAATTTACTGAGGAAGTGCCATCAAAAACAGTTTGAAGTTAAACTGGGCCGTACAGTCACCGGGTTTGACAGTCAGAGTCTGGCCTGGCACAGTGGCAGAGGAGCAGAACTTCCTACCCATTACTTGTACGGCGCCACGGGCCCTCACTGTACCAGATTACGGCTAGCGCCAGGCAGACACACGGTTTAATTTTGAGGCATTAAATCACTTTGTCTATAATGCATGAGGAGAGCTGGGCACACACAAGAGCTGACAGTGTGTTCCCAGATCTGATTACGCCGGCAGCGTGAGCGGGACGTCAGAGCGCAGAGCTACTGTGACCTTCTCCCGGTGATGGAAAGATATATCTGAATTTCATGCGACGGTAGCAGTTAGCAACATGTCCCAGCATGCCCCCAGTTCACAATTAGAAACTGCATGTGGACTTTGTCTCTGCGCAGTGAGCAGGTGAAAAGGATCTGGATGGTTTACACTGCTCGTTTGGGGCTCAAAAACATGTAATTAGCACACTCCTCAATTACGAAAACCACCACCGATGGTAATTTTACGCGCAACATAGAATTAACTGCAGCGGCAGAGCCGTAAAGCGGGATGACGGTGCACTCCGCGGGTCTGTTTTTGGGACTTGGCGATCCACTATGACTGTGACTTTCGCAGGCCGAGCGCGTCACACGGGGCTGGTGTCCGCCGAGGACGTTTCCAGCACGACAGCTGAGCCTGTGAGAGGAAGACAGACAGAAAGGGAAAGAGAGAGTCATCCGAAGTTTTGAGTGTGACAGCTGTAACTTACGCAACGCGTGAGTGCGACATTTCCTCGTGAACTGTCCAGATGATCTGCTGTAGTTCTCCAAGGCACTGGAGGGTGAAGAGAAGCTAAAGGGAAAGGGTTGAATAGGTGTTAAGAGGATGTGCCCATCAGTGAGTGTTTGTACATTTAAATGAAAGAATTAGATAAGAGGGGAAAACAAAAAAGGGGAGTCTGCATGTTCCCCCCCTGTGTTTCCTTGAGCTAGAAAGTTTACCTCTCCATCTTCAATTCAATCTGCAGAATGTTTTATCGGAAAATCATAGAGGCAGAAAGTCTCACATGACACCTCTCAGTCGGTCTCCACACAGGCTGATCATGTAATGAGCTGTGTCTGTATCCATGGGCCGAGCCCCATGAGGCCTTGAAACTCTAGATCTCGCAGTGTCCCATTCAGCCACCGCTGCTCCTGTTTTTCACTCGCTCTGACACAAAAGCTTTGCCCCTGGAGAGCCATAGATTTCATCAGGGTTATTTTGGTCTTTCCGTTCACGGGCAGGAAATGGAATAATAACAGTGGATTCGACAACAATCATGGAGTAACCTTATGACAGACTGAGCAGAAAGGATTTTTTACCCATCCGCGTTGAGTGAAGTGGAAACTGAGTAGCTTTTTGAGAGGTCTTATTGAACACACACTGTGGCCAATTCTTGCAGACATGGCCAATTATGAGAATTCGTATGTCGATTTTTTTCTATTTCAAAAAGAGAGAAGAAACAGTTTAAATGCCCCATTCTTTTATTCTCTGTCTAACCACTGTGGACATTTCTGTTTGAGCATATGTGAGTTTGGCTTTTCTCCACGAGTCCAACTTCAGACATGACTGAACAAATCTATCAATAAAGTTAAATAAATCTTAAAAGAAAACGTTAGAATGCATAGGATATGTTTGATAGAAATGACAAATGCTGCAATTTGTGCTTTGATTGCTCCCAGACTAGACCGTTGGCCTTTACATAAATCCCTAGCCTTTGTGCACAGTGACACATTTTCTGGCACACTTGGAGAGCACAGAGCTAATTGATTAGACCCAGTCAGTCTAAATTTCCATTGGATCCATTCCCTGTAATAGACAGATGTTGCCACTGAAAGGTACATCCTGACCTCTCTATATCGATCAGGTGCGTGCAGGCCATTGTGCACAGGCATCGTGCACAGGCATGACAGATCCCTGCTGTGAGGTCTGGCGATGGCATTGCTTTGGGTTTCTGATGTGTTCATTACACACCATGACGTGACAGCCACCGGTCATTTTTACGGCCCACCTTACATATGTGTAGAATCAGACTTCGTAGTATATGGGTCAAAGACCCATAAAGTTCATCTGCCCAAAGGCCTGGCGGGAAACGTGCAAGTGCCCTGGCCAAAGTGACTTACTAATGTGCACTTTCCATGCGACTGCCCTTTTAGTTTACTGTCACATGCTCATTAGGAGAAGGGCGGTTAGTACCCACTGACCAGTTCATCCTGTTCTCGGCGTGTTTCGGCTTTGCATCTCTGCTGCGAGCCGACACTTTAAAACATGTGTCTCTCTGCTCCTGGAAAGTCAACAAAACGGGGCTCTTTGTTCTGAGAAAATCCCAGCAATGTTTGCCTGTTGTTGCTTTGTCTGCACAAACACTCCTTGGAGCCACACGAGCACAGCGCTGTGAAAATATGCAGGAGGCCCACGCATCGAAGCGGATTCT